AAACTGTGACAAATCATGCACTAATGTTGGTCGTCCAATTTTGTTTTTATCGTTTCAGACACCCCCCGCCCCCTGAGGAAAAATCCCCCAAGGTACTGTACCGTATTTTCGCCCCAATCCCTCGTACGGAAGGAAGTTCCCACTTCTCTGGCCGAGTCTCGTCCGATTGACACCCTCATCGCCCCCTGATGACCAATCTCTTCCTGACCGCCGACGCTGCACGGTGGGGACCACCTCTGTCGTCCCCCGGGGTCCTGAAGGGATGTCACATGCAACATGCACCATCCCTTCGTCTCTCTCTCTTCTCCATCTCCACATCCTCCTCACTATCAAGTGACCGGACATTCACTCAACATTATATATTCAAGATTCAAGGACACATCGCCTCCTTGAATCCACCTTCAGAAATACAGCCGACGCTACTGTTCTTCAGACAGTGGCAGGCTGGGACTCAACAGGAGAACATCTTCTCTCCTTCTCCGCCACTCATCCTAAATATCACAATTCCAAATATTATAAATACTTACCTGTCCCAGTCACAATTTCATTTCCCCTTAAATTACACACTTACCACTTTACTAAAGTCTACTTGTATATTTATTGCGCCACGATAAATAAATGTTCTTATAATTGTGCATAAACAATAACTATGGTGTGTGCCGTGTGAGTTATTTAGCGACCGAACCGATAAACTGTGTTATAACTCCTCATCCGTATCTTGGTGCCCATTTACACATACGAACTATTGTGCGTCATTTGAGATATTCATCCCCACAAGCGAGCCCCATTTCCTCTACCTCACAGCTACGGACTCCTCCTGTGTGGCGTATCGTGGGATATCGACGCACAACGCCATCGACGTGACGTACCTGGCCCTTCGTCCAACCAACGCCCAAAGACTTGGTGGACTCACCCGCACCTTTCCCATCCCCAACGCCCACAACACCTATTCAGAGTTAGTTTAATTTATATTTGAAAAGCTACTATTCGTTAAAAAACAGAGACAACAAACATTTGCGAGGTTACTTGGCGGATTAACCATTTAATCTGTGAAAGTGGCATATGTCGCTTTGGCGATTTGTCCATAATTCGTGACAAAGGCATATGTCATCGCCAAAATCCGCTCCATAACCCGTGACGATGACATATGTTGCCACAGAAAACCTTACCTTAATTCGTGACGTAGACGTTTGTCGTTCCTAGGCAAATTCGCCATAATTCGTGACGTCAACATTTGTTTTTAGCCCGAACCAGGGCTTCTGTAATTGTCATGTCCGTTCGTCCGTCCGTCCGTCTGTCTGTCTTTCGATAACTCTGGAACGAGTTGGCCGATTGACTTGAAATTTTTACTAGATGCATAGTGGACAAAGTTAGGAACCGAGTTCGAAGATGGGCAAAAGCGGTCCCCTGGATGACCCGTAGGGGTCATCTGGGTGGGTGGGTATTATGCACCAAAATTTCGAAATTGTCGTAGAAAGCTGAAATTTGGTGCAGAGGTAGTAAATGGGTCCTAAAGGAAGGATATGAACCCAAATTCGAAAAATTTTCATGTTGAGGGACCCTATGGTAAGGGACTCCAACTGATTTTTCAAAATCGTCATATCGTTCTGAAATTTGGCATTTAGTTTTCTTATCGCTCTTCATGGAAGAATATACATTGGAATCTGGAAAATTTTCATCTGGAAGGACCCTATGGGGTGACCCCCACCAATTTTCAGGGATTAACATGGAAAGCTGAAATTAGGACCAGAGATCTGCCTTCTCATGAAATAATAGGAAGTTAAATATGAACAAAAATTTGCAGAGGGACACTAGGGGGTGGTCCACACCGATTTCTTAAAATTGATATAATCAGCTGAAATTTAGTATGGAGTCGAGAAATAACTTAGGATTAGCATTTACCCCATAGGGTACCTCAAGATAAAAATATATTCAATTCCACGTTATATTCTTCCATTGCAAGTCATTATAAACTTTCACGCAAATTTTGAATTTTCGTTACCCTTGACCCCCAACACCCATATGACCCCTACCGGCCAACCACTTGACCGATCGAACCAGTCTTCGAACTCGAATTGTGTATTTGGATGGTCTATATGTGTGGAAAATATCAAGTCGATCGGATAATTTTAAAAAGAGTTATCATCGTACAGATGGACAACACGGGTACATAAGCCTTGGGTCGGGCTAAAAATTAAGAATTTTTTGTGAAAATGTTGCCACGGAGTAACATATTTGACTGGCATTTTTGGTTACGAATAATGATCCCTTAGAGATAAAGCTCCCTCACGAATTAAGGTAACTCTACTGTCGCCTGGTGACACGAATTATGGACATCATGACTTTTACTTGTCCTCTTTAAATGGTTAACAGATTAGCAGATTACAGGCTTTCGAAAAATTTAAGGACTTTTGCATATACTTTTTTAACGAATAGTAATTAAATGGTTAAATATTCACTATTATCTGATATGCTTTATGTAGGAATGACGACACCATAAACCGAACCTCCCTCATGGTCCAGCATATCAACCCGATATACCGCCCCCGTTCAAACCACCTTCAATGCCTCCTGTACCTCGTGGTCATCTTGGACCTCGAAATTTTCAACGGCATTCGCTACAACTCCATGCAGGTAGGATTTTCTCATCCACGAATACTAGCCACCGAGAAAGGCCTGTCGTACCACAAATTCCACCCCAACTTCCCCTCCTCCACCGTCGTTGGCTTCTACCTTAGCGAATTCCACGTCGAAATATTCCGCCCACCCATCACCTTATACGACCCGGACCCTTTGCCAGTGTATTTTGCCACCCCAACGATATACGTGGTAAAAATGACCAAGCTATTGTCACCCAAGGAGCTTATCTATCTTCCCCTGGAAACAAACTTCGTGTGGTGCGTGAAACGCCCAGCGGCGGTTAAGCTTGCCGCCTACTTTTATCAGATGCGCCCCCTCGCGGGCGAGCTGGCCTGTCTGGATCGCGTTCTTTTTAGACGGAACTACGGCAAAACAACGCTCCTCCTCTGGGACATGAGCATCGTCAGGTTTCTGAAAGTCGTGAAATCTGTCGAACTCGATGTCGGGATGGATCTCGCGGTGAAAAAAGTATGGAGCAAGAACTATTCAGACGTATTGCAGTCACTGAGGGGGTCCACACTGACCACGTTGTTCGACGAGGAACAGTTTCCCCTAGTCGAGGTGATCCTGCTGGGAAATATTAGCTTCTCCTTTGTCACGTGTGGATCCATGGGAGATGAAGGGCTACGGTTTTCAGGATATGTACAACCCTTCCAGAAATCGGTGTGGTTAGCGATATTTATTTGTTCGGCGGGAATAGCAATGTTGATTATGAGTTATGGGGTGGGCGGGACAATTCAAAAATCAAGGTTGACCCAGGTTTTCACTTTTGTAGACGTGCTCGCCATAAATTTGGAGATATCCTTGAACATAAAACGGTTTAAAGGGGAGATCAAAACTGTTGTCTTGATATTTGTCCTTGTCTCTATTTTGACCATTAATGTCTACAAAAGCGTGGTAACGAATGATATAACCGCCCCGTTGGGGACATTTCAACCCGACCTGTTTTCTCAACTTGTTTCCCATTATTTTAAGCTGATTGGTCTATATGTTAATTCAGACATGTACCGGGAAGACTCAGGGATACCCGTCCCGATAACTTTTAGGAAGTACAGGGTTGGCAATGGCGAGTTTGACGAGGAGTTTTATGATCGAGTTGAACTCTGGAAACGGAAGAACGGACTAGATCCGAGACTCAATTCGACGATAAACTCCGTATTTCGATATTTTATATGCAAAAGTTTCATTCAGAGCGGGGATTTGGCCAAAATAACGATAGAATCCCCTCGTTGGTATTGTCGAAACAAGACTATGCAAATACTTAAAACGCATTCCAACTTGGTTAACAAGGTGGAAAACATGTTTAATCAGATTGATTTTGGGAGATTGTTAAAAAATACGGAATCCTTGGACATAACGAAAATTCCCCACGATATTGCCAACTGCAAAAAGACCGCGTTAGTTTTGCGAACCAGGCACTTGACGAGGAAACATTTACTCGAAAAAATGTTGGGGCCGGGTGGACGCTCGCATAAAAATAGGAGGCCGTACGTGACCAGTAAGGACACCTTGTTTTCGAGGAGGGTTTTTCTAATGATGACAAAGTCTGGGTGGTACAGTGCCATGGTTAAGTTCAAATTTGCCGGGGTGTTTGAAGGCGGGCTGTATAATTTTTGGGAAAATGTAATCACCTTTGCACACACGACGGTGGCAAAGACGAATATGCTGAGGGAGGATGACCACCCGGCGCAGAAATTGCAGGCGAATATAGGGACGTCGTTTATTATTTTGTTGATTGGATTGTTCTTATCGGGTGGGGTGGCATTTTGTGAAAATCCAAAGGGGATATGGAAAGTGGGGAGGAAATTTATGCATAAAATTTATGGATGCGGAAAAGTTTGTAGAAAAAAGGTAATAAGGGTTCGTAAATTTCCGGTAGCTTATGTGGAGTTTAAAACGTAATTTTCCGTCGAAGGGTGAACATTAATGGAATTGTTTCATGAAAAAAAATTGGTTAATAAATTACTTTTCTACGCAAATATTTTTGAATTCTGTTTATCTCGGCGAGATAAATACACATAAACGATCGCGTACATTCATGATTACGGAAACAAAGCGTACGAATTAAGTATATTAATAGCATTCGAAATATTTTCAAATAAAGTGAGCTTTTTCTCGTTATTTAACTTCCCTGTAATCCAATTAATAAACCATATGTGTAGGTTTGTTAAAAGTAAAAGTTAATTATGTAAATGGTCCAATCAATTTACAACCGAATAAAATCTTTATCATTTTACACGTTTAAATTTAATTGATTTTCCCAAACTTCAAAGTAATTTACCTGCAATCAGGAAAAACCGGATAAATTATTTGATACACGGTCCCCTTATCAGATCGCATGTGTAACTTGCATCTGTTTTATAAAAATGAACGGGGACACTCACTAATCGAATTTGATGCGAGTATCAGTAGTTGACGGTTTTATTACTTCCGTCAAGAATTATTTATGATGGGTCTTTCTTTCTATACCAATTGGACATTTTTATTGTTCAGCGTCCTTTTTCGAGCAAAATTTACTAACTCGTACGAATCAAGTTCAGGTAATATTACAAGTTTTCAATAAAAATTTTAAAAAAACATATAAATTTTATATTTTTTACACATTCTTTAGAATTTAGGTACATCGGGTCACATCAGGCTTCCTCGTATTACGTCAGCAATGTCACCGTATGCAAAACACTTTTTGTTACATATGTATCAAAATTGAGAAATAAATTATTCGTAAAAATCAGAGCACTTGGAACAACGCATACACAGGATGACTCCGGTTCGACTATGGAAACTTAATATCCGTCGAAACATTTGAAGAAGACCTCGAAGTTCGCCTTCTCATGATAGAAAATAGCATTCGTATTTTTTTAATAATTTACTTTCTTAACTCTAAAAATGATTGCTCTATGTAAATAAGCATAATTAAACAAATATGGTAAAAAAATTTAGAAGACGTATGGACAGCGGGTGGGTATGATCCGAATACGCAGAAATATTACTGGGTTTCGACCAGTGAAGAGGTTCAAGTAGACGAATGGGCCCCTTGGAGGGTTGGACATCCCCTCCGGCAAGAAGGGTACTGCATAGCCATTCACAACACGATTTTTGGTAACTCCGCCTGGTACACGGAAATGAAAACGGAGACATTTTACTACATTTGCGAAAAGAATTGAATTTTTTTAAATTTTCGATCCCACCAAGTGGTACACATTACGCAGGGCTAATTATTCTAGATATATACTTCATTTGTGAAAAAGAATAAATAAAAATAGAAATTTTAAAGTTTCGAGTGTTATTTTATGAATGAAATACGGAAATCGCTAACAGGTCAAAAAGTGGTTACCGCAGTGGAATACGAACCCACGACCTCCTGTTTTCATGACAGGTAGGTGCTCTGAATAAATAAATAAAAACGCACTTTGCTGCACAATATTTATTTGTATGTTTGTACATACAGTGTCTCAAAAAATTGAAGGCACCTTTACGTATTTTTAATTGCGATATGATCCTATGCACTTAGAGCTATGAAACTCTGCATGTACTTGTATAAGCTAATTGACGAATAATCCCTCGTCGCCGATTTCTAAGGTCACCGCCCGGTCGAAGGTCAGAATTTTTTTACCACTTCAAAATGAGAGGCCAAAATGAAAACTTCATGGATAATTTTTTTTGGACTTTCTAATATTCTTTATTGGTTGCGGCAAGCCCTCACGAAAAAAATGAGCTATCGTTCGACCGTGTACGATTTTCTTGACGCCCACAGGAATTTTTCGCCAAGAACGGTTTTGAGGCCTAAAATCGTGACCGTGGCGAAATTCAAACATTTGAAATATACAAAAGCATATATTCAATGTTTGTATGGTTTTGTATATTTCAAATGTTTGAATTTCGCCACGGTCACGATTTTAGGCCTCAAAACCGTTCTTGGCGAAAAATTCCTGTGGGCGTCAAGAAAATCGTACACGGTCGAACGATAGCTCATTTTTTTCGTGAGGGCTTGCCGCAACCAATAAAGAATATTAGAAAGTCCAAAAAAAATTATCCATGAAGTTTTCATTTTGGCCTCTCATTTTGAAGTGGTAAAAAAATTCTGACCTTCGACCGGGCGGTGACCTTAGAAATCGGCGACGAGGGATTATTCGTCAATTAGTTTATACAAGTACATGCAGAGTTTCATAGCTCTAAGTGCATGGGATCATATCGCAATTAAAAATACGTAAAGGTGCCTTCAATTTTTTGAGACACTGTATGACTCCAGGAGAAGTATTTTATCAACTGTGTTGCTCTAATCGACTACTGGACCACCCCTTTCTAGGACAGGGGATGTGATCACACAACATTTCGTTTGTAACGAACGATAAGATTCATTTATTTTTTACGAAATACGCCAAGTAAAAGAGCATCTACATATTTCGTCGCAAACTATTTTTCGCAAATTCGCCGTCATGCGAATTTGCACATCTTCTCTTATTTTCAGTTTTTGTAGCTTCATTTAAAATAGTTCACGGAACCAATTTCACAAACATCGCAAAGTTGTGAAGATGCAAAGAGATGCGAGTGAGAGTTTGCGTGAATGCCCATTGCCCGCACGATGTGCCAGAATATCTGTTTTGTATGTGGCACAATTCCGACATAGTTATTATTTGTGTCGATAATATATTTTATTGGCTTGTGTTGTGTAAAACCCGACATACATTTTTTCGGTCAGCTTACGAGTGAGATAAGATCTTATAATAGCACATATATACCTCCATGCATAAGATTGAAGTTTTTTGAGCGGCTCCAACATTTGCGTATTGGCGACACCTTGTCATGCAAATTTGAGAGTGTTATGTAAGTCGAAGCGGTATCAGAATTCGTCAAAGGGATAAATCCACAATTTAAATATGTAAACGAACCATGTTAAGTAAATAAATAAATAAAAGCTCTTATTGACCCTGTGTAATGCATATTTACTTTGATTTAACCGTAATTACGGTATCTGGAACCCAAATTCTGTACGCATTTGTTTTTTACCAAATATCTGAGAGCTTGTCCTTTAACATGTTTTTTTGTTACAAAATCGAGGTAATTATTTTGAGACGTTACCTTAATGTCATGCTCGATACAGATTTAATGGGCCTATGACATGCCGTCAATGCTGATATTTAGAAAGACGGGTATTAATCACGTCATATTTATCACCCAAGTTTAATGTTTACATTAAACTTGGGTGATAAATTACAATGAAGTTTTGTGTAGCGAAATATTTTTCTGGATAAGTGCAAAAAATGTGATTATGACGTATTTTGGGAACAAAAATATGTAAAAAGTATAAGTTTAGTAATTAAACTATGCAACCAATTTAACATTTAGCATTAAATAAATTTATTGTCGCAAACTTCAAAACAATTTACTCATTATGCAATGAATATGTAAAAGCAAGATAAGTTATTTGGTACACGGTCCCCTTATCAGATCATATCTCACGTGTATGTATGTAGGTATGCAACCTGAATCTGCTTTTTGATAATGAATGGCGACATTCACCAATTTTTGACGCGACAAGTTGACAGTTTTACTATTCCGCTGATCACCAGAATTATGATGGGTCTTTCTTATAACAAATGGATATTTTTATTCTTTAGCGTTCTTTTTCTAGCAGAATCTGCCAAGTCGAACGAATCAAGTTCAGGTAGTGATAATAATTATTGCAAATTTGCAAAAAATATATAAAATTAGTCAAATTATATAAACATTTTACCAAAAATTTTTTAGAATTTAGGTACATCGGGTCATATCGTGATTCCTCGTATTACGTCAGCAATGTCAGAGTACGTAAATATTCTTTTTATTAATTATGATTAATTATGAACATTGATACATAAATAAATTATTCGTAAAACTCAGACCACGTGGAACGCCGCTCTGACAGCATGCATTCGGTCCGACCATGGAAACTTAATTTCCGTAGAAACATTCGACGAAGACCTCGAAGTACGTCTCCTCATGATAGAAAATAGCATTGGTAACCAAGTTTATCTACATAATTGTAGGAATAATTAAGCTTACTCAATTAGACAAATGACGAATTTTAGAGGACGTATGGACCGCGGGCGGGTATGACTTCAATAGGCAGAAATACTACTGGATTAAGGAGACCAGTGAAGAGGTTCAGGTAGACGAATGGGCCCCTTGGAGGGTTGGACATCCCCTCCAGCAAGATGGATACATCATAGCCATCCATAACACGGTTTTTGGTCACTCTGCCTGGTACACGGAAATGAAAACGCAGCCATTTTACTACATTTGCGAAAAGGATGTGTAAGTTAATTAAGGAGATACGTAAATTTTTTACTATCTTTCTAAAATGCATTCATAATTTCAGCCCGACATCTCCAACCACGGAAGCTGACACGGAAAAGACGACCTTGACGACACCCACTGAACCGGACAGTACAACCAGCACAACGGAAGGGACGACAACGCCGGTAAGCTTACTTATTGATGATGTTTCATGTATGTAAGTATAATAAGAATGAGATTTTAATGGTTCTTGTTAATTTTTAAGCCAAATTTTTTATTGGTTATTAATTAATTTAAACATATTTTAGGATCCCATCGCTGAATGGATTTGTCCAGCCGGTTATGTCGGCGATATTGGTCATCCGTTCGATTGCCGTCTTTACTACTCTTGTCTGGATTCACAGGCAACTAGGAAAAGTTGTTCGGTAGGCTTCTACTTTGATACGGTAAGCTGCAAAATAAGTACATATACCACACATAAAATTGTTGGTGTATTTTAATATTTATCCTCTTTGTCAGTGGGTTGAATATATTTGCCGGCCCCCATTTCAAGTTCCACAATGTTCTGGGGGTACTCCCGTTCCAGGGACACCAACTCCTAAGCCACCACCATCTTATGCAAGGATAATGCAAGAATGGTATTATCGATAGGATTAAGGTCTTGAGTTTCACACTTGTCACTTGTGCACATCTTATGGAATAAGTATGTAATAAACAATTCCTAATTTTCTTAATTGTAATAAAAAACAATACATTATAAGTGGTTCGTGATTTATTATTTTTCGTTTGCATGACACAATATTAAATAATAGATAAATATGTCTGATATTATTAAGTACTTAATTGCATATTCATTGTAATGCATATGCTACATGTCATGTCTATTTTCATACTTTATGAATGACACATTTCGTCATACATATAAATATCTACGGATTATATCATAAAATGCAGTTTGTCTATGCATGGACAAAACATTGAGGATGAGCATAATTGTATGTGCACAATCCAACAATTGAATAATACGGGATGAGAAGACAACTTGACTTTTAGTAGATAACTGATAAAATTGGTGAATCACAATCACACCACCTTATGCAAATTTGTATAAGCAATTACTTCATATATTTAAAAAATCTGGTAAACTGATAAATTTATGGAACAAGAAATTAATTAAGTATAACAATTATTGGCCTTAATTCGTGCAACATGTCACAAAAGTCTGTCCCGCTTCCTGTCCAATTAAACAAAGTAAAGATAAATTTGTCTCCCTCTTTATGAAACACTTACTTATTTGCATATGTATCACACAAATGTTTTATATTGTGTGCAAAATGTATTGTCATACTTAAATTACCGGTAATAAAATGATAAGCATCCAGGACATGGCTCCCTTATCATGGGACGGATCGTACCGTATTAACCTGGATCCATTTTTATTAATTTGTACCACTCACTACTGGAACTTGTTGCGATTAGTTGCCAACTTTGTTCAAGAATCACTTAATTTATAATGGGTCCAATTTTTACCTTGTTATTTCTTAGCGTTCTTAATTTGATAAGTGCTGCACCGGTAGAAGAGGAACCTCTTCCAGGTAGATTTTAAATTATTGGTGAGATTAGCGTAAATAAATTGCAATTTTTTAAAACTGCGTAGAATTTACCTTCATCGGGTCATTTCGTACTTCTTCATATTACGTCAGCGATGTCCCGGTAAGTATGGCGAGTAAACTTGCTTTGTGGTAAATATTGGTAAATATTTAAAAATAATGAACATTTAGAGCACATGGAACAACGCATACACAGGATGCATCCGATCGGATCATGGAAATCTGACGTCTGTCGGAACTCCAGAGGAAGATTTTGAACTTCGACTCCTCATGATAGAGAATGACATTGGTACATAAATAAGACAAGAAATTAGCTAAATATTGAGGCAATTCACGTAGTCATTGGTAACTCGTAAAATTAGTAAGTTTTGTAAAATCATTTTACAAAATCAAGATACATACATCATTTCTTTGAGTAAGTTTGCAGACATTTGTAAGGTAATTTTCCTTAGAAATATTAATAAGTTTACAGAATTTATGGATTTTACAATGTTCCCAAACCAAGTTCAGCGTGAAGTGCTTCATTAAATATGTATAAATAAACGATGTTTATGATAATTAAGTTATAGAAATAATTGTAATTAATTAGATAACTTTTAATGCTTACATTAAAGAACAAGCCTGGACCGGAGGTGCATATGATGCCGAAAGTATGAAATATTTCTGGGTCGGGACCGGTGACGAAATTATGGTCGACGCATGGGCACCCTGGGAAGTCGGACATCCGATAAAGGAACCTGACTTTTGTGTATTTATTCATAATCGAGTTTTTGATCCAACCACGTGGTACACTCTACCCAAAACTAACCTGTTCTACTATATTTGTGAAAAGGAAAAGTAATTTTGAATAAATAAACCAGAGTTTTTTTAACTACATATGCGTACAAATATGAATCCATATTTCAGCCCGGTTACCACGGAACCAACAACCCCAGAACCAACTACGACCACGACAGAACCAACTACGACAACCACAGAACCAACTACGACAACCACAGAACCAACTACGACAACCACAGAACCAACTACGACAACCGAAGAACCAACTTCGACAACCACAGAACCAACTACGACCACGACAGAACCAACTACGACAACCGAAGAACCAACTACGACAACCACAGAACCAACTACGACAACCACAGAACCAACTACGACAACAACAGAACCAACTACGACAACCGAAGAACCAACTTCGACAACCACAGAACCAACTACGACCACGACAGAACCAACTACGACAACCGAAGAACCAACTTCAACAACCACAGAACCAACTTCGACAACCACAGAACCAACTACGACAACCACAGAACCAACTACGACAACCGAAGAACCAACTTCAACAACCACAGAACCAACTACGACAACCAAAGAACCAACTACGACAACTGAAGAACCAACTACAACCACCACAGAACCAACTACGACAACCGAACAATCAACTGAGACAACCACCGTTGTGTGTATATATTTTTTTTAATCTCCACCTCCATAAGGTATCGCTAATTAATTAATTAAATCACATTTAAGGATCCCATCGCTGAATGGATCTGCCCACCCGATTACGTCGGCGATATCGGTCATCCTTTCAACTGCAGCTTTTACTACACTTGCCAGGAGTCACCTCTACCACCAATTCGGAAAACGTGTCCTGCTGGCTACTATTTTGATTCTGTGAGTTAACAAATAAATATATGCATCTACATATTCTTTGAGGACCTCCAATTAATGGAAATAACAACTCTCTAGTGGGATCTGTACATATGTCGGTTACCATTTCAAGTCCCGAAATGTACCGGTGGTACCCCCGTTCCAGGCACACCTACTCCTAAACCGCCCGCATATTATAATCAAAAATTGGAAAAAGAATATTATTCATATGATTAAAGTATTTTTAGTCCCACAAGTGGTTTACAAATTTGCAAATATAAATTACTCTATACACATTTTTTTATGGATAGTAAAAATAAATGTGAGATGAATATACTTATGCTTCAATTCACCTTCTGGTGTTAAAATTCACTCCGGTACCCAAGTACTTACATAGATAAATATACATATAGTTTGGCTCGACTTATGTATGTACATATGCGTGTGTATTTATGTCACTTTGTCAATTAAACGACGCCGCCTTATCTGACCATGCCAATTCATACATATGTGTGTCATCATATTATCAGCAACCTCATATACATATGTACATATGTATGAATACTTAATCTTCGGAATAAAAGCCACCGTGATTCTCACATCATGTATTTATTACTGTACTTTACAAGAAACAATTAGATACATGTACATGTATTTATAACACACTTTTTAACACTAAACTATTTCTAAGCACCAATAAGTGGGAACGTTGCCACAGACCTAGGACTCTCCAGACGTTTTTGTCCCACCGTAGAATTTACTTTACAATCATCTTCGATCATATTATTCAGCGTAAAATGCTGCAAGGATCCCATAAATAGCGAGTTTACTCCTCCATCACTATCATCCACGTAGTACATGCGTTCCTGGAAATGCATCCTGCTAACCTTCCCCTCAACAGTTTCCTTATTTAACACAAAGCAAACCGAACCTTCCCTAGCGTCGCCTAAAGGATCAAAAATTATCCTGTAAACCGGCGTATTTACGGGATCAGGGTCAGCCGGTTGTTTCCCCGTGATGAGGAAGGATCTCGTGACGAAAACTTGGTTTGGAATGTTTGGTATTAATTCGTCCGGGATGCCGGTAAATGGGGCGTAAAACGACATCGTCTCGCCACCCCCGTAATCTTCCGTGAAGAAGTGAATCGCATCCCAGTTTACGTCGTCCCCACCCAACCCCCGATATGACAATAAGTCAAGAAACACAGCTCCATTTTGGCCAATGAAATAACAACTGGATTTATCACTTTTCCCAAGGATGTACCCCGTGGCTTCGGGAGTAACGTGATAGTTTGTGGAAGGAAAGAATCTCCAACTGAAATTATTTTTTTAATTTAAAGTAAAAAAATGATTTAACCACTTTAAAAAAATTAATTCGAATAAAGTTACACATTACAAATTAATTATATTTTCACAACTGTTCGTTAAAAAATGGAGAGCAAAGTCTGTAAATTTTGCTAATTTTTTTTCAAACAAACCATGCCATATAACCTCGCAGATTTGTTCCTCAAGTTTTTTTAACGAACAGTTGTATGCATAAATATATACACTAACAAATTACGCATGTAAAATAATTAACTACTTATTTAAATACTTGGGACGAAACATATCATACTTACATTCCTGTCACACACGCGATGACATCGACGGTTGAGGCGTCGCTGAAGAAATCTTGCCAATCCTCATCTTCACTCGTGTCGCTTAATTTCGATGAAACTGCGACGTACTGACTATTTCCATCCGTCCGATAAAAGGTAAGCGTTGCAGGGACACGGTCTTCCGGCTTATTGGGATTTTCGATGGGAAGCTCTTGTGCATCTCCTTGGAGAAGGGTTACAGCTAAGATTAACGGTATTATGAAAATCTTGATGATTTCCATGTTGCTTGGATGACAAGGTAGAGATGACTTGGGAATTGTAAAGTATGCAGTTTCGGATGGGGTATATGCGGAGATGACGAATTTGTGGTAAGGTTTGCGCGTATCATATTTATGTACATATTTGTCATGAGGAATTCATGAGATAAGATTAATAAGGTGTGAAAGCCCTTTATAAGATTGTTTTGTCCTTCTGTTTGTCTGTCCGTTGGTCCGATACGCAGCGCGTGATCAATAGATCGACATTCTTAGCGTAAAATCCTTTCATCCCCGAAAATGTTGATCCCCATTTTGACCTCAAAGGTGTCATAAAATTGTGTACGCGTGTCAGAAGTATAGAAAACACGTGGACGTATCAATTTTAGCTGGTTTTCGACGGACAAAAACAATATGATATTCATTTTGACGTATGCATAACAAACTGCTTTCACCCATTGGCTACATGCGTTGTAATGATTTATTATTTTTACACATGCATTAAATTGATTTGTAAATCTCAACGTTCAGTTAACAATGGGATTGTGTATGTAACCTTAATTGGGAATGATTCATCGGATGTGATAACTGACTACGCTGCCAAAATTCATTTCGGCTTTAACATTGTCAAATATGTAATCATCACAAACAATTATTGAGTGATGAATCAGAATATTTCACCATGGTGAGTATTTATATGCATGCATGTGCTAAAAATATGTACATCTACGTCCTGCGTAACAATGAGCACATTGTGTCCATCCTTTTAATACGCGTCACCCTTTCTGTGTCCTGCGTTTTCGAAGCGTTCAATGTCTTAGCGTTTACTATCCTGTTACCCATCACATTTACCAGAGTTATTAGCAACATGGTTCGTAAAATCGGAAGGATTTCCTTGTGGGACAAACTCATCGAAAATTATCGAATCCTTCACATCATACTTCAAGTAATTACACCCTCTTCGTCCATGCTTATCGTGGGGACCATGCTGCTTGGAATGGTTATCGGAGTAATGTTCAATGTTGTTAGTATTGAATAGCCTTGGCAAATAAAATCCCGGCCTTATTTTACCCGTCCTTCCCTGCGAGATTGGGACTAATAATGTACGTCATGCTGGTCAATTTGCCGTGAATCTTCACACCGAGACGGATGATATCCTGGGGAGGGCGCAGAGAATGATTTGTGACATGATTCCCGTTTCGACCCTGGAGGAGACACATATTCGAACAAAAACTTTGAGGAGTATGAAAATTACAAATTTCAAGGGGGTATGGCCCCATTTTGTTTTTTGTGATTTGGACTTGGACAAATCCATCAAACGAACAACTTTTTGCATGGCATATATACATATGTGACTCTATCAGAATTTTAACAGTGTACTTTCCACGACCTTTTATCCAGCATTGCTATTTTGTTGCATGTTACTTCAGATAACTCAATTCTGATAAGTAGCCTCCGTCATAAGGAACCAGTTTATGGTGAGAGCATATTGTATCTATTTACTTATGTACATAACTTATTATGTACATATTTGCATGTTAGGTAGCCAATATCCATACATATTTACCTTACCCATATTAAGCAGTAGAGATCAGCTCGTTATACATATATACAATTGTACAGGACATGCAGCATGTCCTGTGCAATTGTCAATACGTAGCATGTCACACGCTACGTATTGACGATTGAAAAAAGACAATTTTCTGATAAATAGCTACCGTATTTACATGAAGTGAAATACATGCATATGTCGTACTAAAAATAAAGTTTACTGTATCCTCCCTCCTCCTGAAGGACTTGAAATGGACCATAACCAAACCACTTCGTATGTAGAGATGCATACGTAACGTGTACATTAGATCAGACGAGAAAAATATAGACATTTAATTCATATTTTCTTTACAAATTACGTACGTGAAAAATTAATAATTGACACTTGTAGCTTGTCAAAATGGCACTAATTAATTCCTATAGTGCGAAGAGTCTGGATAAAAATGAAATTTGGGAGAAGTCTTTGAAAACTAAAATCGTTCGAGTTTTGTCCACCATTCAAATTGCTTTGACTGTCGTCACTTCCGGAATTGTCGTAAGGCCACGCAGAGATATGTATATATATGTTTTATACTGCGTGTAATCTTATATAATTCTTAATAATTTCACTTGATTCAAGATATTTTTAATGACAACGGAGTTCGCACGATCATGGTCCCCCACAGAATCAACAATTGGATTGGTTTTCACAATTTTACCAGCAGTCTCGGCCATCTCAACATTTATTACTGCGACAAGAAAGTCCTTCTTGACGTAAGTAACATGATTTTACATACATAGATATTTAAATTTTCGATTCCAAAACCGAACTCGTTTCGCCGGGGTTCAATTTGTACAATATGTTAAACCAGTGGCCGCAGAAGATGTGGGGACATGTGGGGACATTAATATTGTAGGGTAAGGGAGGGAGGGGTTTAGATAACATGGGCGGACATAGAATAACTTTGGGGACATTTTCCCACTGTCCCCACAATTCTGCATAACCGTGAGGACATTTTATCACCGTCCCCACAATTCCGCGGCCACTGTTCGAAACTTATATTAAGTATTTGGCTTTTTCCCATGGCATATGTATGTATTTACAAAGTTTGCAATACAAACTAACATAATATGCAAATTATGTCAATCATGTCAATGTCAATTATGTTATTCATAAATTATGTCACGCAAAAAAGTTCTTTTTTAGGACCCCCCCCCACCCCTGTTGTCACGCCTTTGTCACGCTCGCCGTAACCCCTCCCCCCTTCTTGTCACGTCACGCCTTAAAATTTGAATTTTTCCAATAGGAAGAATAAGATACACGTGTTCTATAAAAGAGGAGCGAGTAGTAAATAGGGCACACTATCAAAACTCACAAAGGAGTCTTATGTACTAGATTTTGCACAAATTAACTTTATTTGCAGATAATTATGAAGCCACGCCTTTGTCAGAGAAGGTGTAGTGCAAATTGCGGTTGAAACGAATAGTTCGCAATAACTGAGTGAAACCCATGTAATTTTACAGGAAAGGGACAATTCTTAGCTCTATTTATAATCATATCGTACCCTTGATAGAGTTAAAATTCATATCGTGACAGATTTGTGGGTAACAACCTTTCCAAAATTCCTATGTTCATTTTTTATTATTTTTAGTTTTTAAAAGTTTCAAATAAGTTGAAAAAAATCCGCCAAATTTTTCAGTTTTCTTACATGTTATTGCCATACAGTTTTTTAATTGTTAACATTTTTGAATCATACAGTTGTCTTCGATTAGTACACATTTTTGAAACTATGAAAAACATGATTCTTTCGGACGAATTTTTTAAATTGTGCAAATTTTCGCAGATTTAGCAGTGTTTTTTAATTGTTGAATGAATTTATGCAAAATTATGTATGACGATTATTTGAAATTGTGCAAACTTTATGGTACCATGATTTTTTTAAATTTACAAATAATTTAATTGGATATTGGTAATTAATTATTGGAAGGTTTGAACAAAATTTAGAAACTTGGTTGAAAATCTCGAAATCTAAAACTTGGTTGAAATTTTTGATGCTTTGGATCAAAGGTTTGATATTCGGGTGGACATATATTTCTAAATAATTGTAGACATAAACTGTAGTTTGGTCAAAGTCGGAGAAATAAAATGTGAGTTAAAGTTTTCATTAAGTTAGGCCTGCAAAACGTGATGTAGAGTTGCCAGCGAGTCGACTCATTGAGTTGTGAGTCAAAGCGAGTCGACTCATTGAGTTGTGAGTCAAAGCGAGTCGACTCATTGAGTTGTGAGTCGAAGCAAGCCGAGTCAGAAGCAAGCTGGCTTGGCTTGATTCGACTCATTAAGAATCTGAGTGAGTCGAGTGAGTGGAGGCAGCTTATTGACGGAGCCTATGTACACACGTGCGCATGCATTTTGCGTTTACAAGTTGGAGAGAACTGACTGAATTTGTTTGTGCATGTGTGTAAGTACGAGGAGGCGGAGCCAGCCGGCTTATTGAGTGAGTGAGTCAAGCCGAGTCCAACTCACTCACAACTCGCAACTCAATAAGCCAACTCATTGAGTCGACGGCTTACTTGAGGTCAACTCGACTCGGCTTGACTCGACTCACTCAATAAGCTGAGTCAAGCCGAGTTAAAGTGGCAACTCTAACGTGATGTCACGGATCGGCCGAACCCCCCCCTCCCCATATGTCACACTTTGTCACGGATGCTTGGAACCCCTCCCCCATCTTCAGCGTGACATAATTTATGGACCACCCCATAGGGGATTCTCTCAATTCTATATTAAGTAAACTATGCAAATCTAGTGTAGTGTTGCTCTGGATTTAAATACATAGTAAAATTTACTTATTTACTTCGAATTAGGAGTGCTTTTGAGCACTTCTTTGTAAGAAGGATAACATTATTTTTAAGATAGTGCATACTTTTTGTTTTGAAAACAGACTCCACCTCACCACGATAACTCAAGCGGTCGCATTCGGCTTGTCACTGGAAATTTCCAATGCATCGAGCGTTTCACATGTACTAGTTGAAAAATTAAGTAAATTTTTTAATAAAATCAGTCCTTCACTTGCTAAGTCGTTAAGATTTAAGCCACTGTCAATTATCCAGCGGGTACTCCAGCGGTGTCATATTTTAGTTTTACTAATTCTAGTAACAATTCGCACACTTTAATGATTTTCGCCATATTTAGAGTGTAATTGCTAATATGATTACTTAATTGAACAATTTTCAGAGAATTTTTAACAAAAGAGAAAGAGCAAATGACTAAAATAACAATAGGATTTAAGTATTTGGTGTGCAAACTGGGCAAACTGATCTTACCACTTCGCACAATGCCATCAACATGCATCAATTTTTTTCATTCACTTAACTAAATTTTCTTACAATTAATTAAATTTCAAGTAAACAAGTTACTAAATTTATCAAACATAAGTTACTGATGGATTTCCTTGGGTCACACAGATAATAATGACCGTCACAGGTGGTTAATGTATAGTGGGGGGCACGACCGCCCCCATCTCCACCCGCTCCCACTCTGCCTATTCCGCCCCCACTTTCGCCAACTTTGAAGGCTATTAAAAAATTAGCAAATTGGTTTTGCAGAAAAATTTTTGCACTTTGCAATCAAAGCATATCATGGTGCATGCAAAAAGTTAAATTAGAACTCATTTTTCAACTATCATAGAAAAGGTATCCCTAGTCAGTGTAAGTATTTATAAAAAGTATTCACGAAGTATATTAAAATTTTAGGGCGATATCATGAACGAGAAGTCGGCAAGAAAACCCGAGAAGGAAGTCGGTACTAAAAGCCTGATTTAGAAAATAATATAGGTATAAACATATAAATTGGAACAACATATAGCATATAATTACAAACTTAAAATTTGGATCAACATCAAACGTAGTGCACATGTATGTAAATTATGTATGAGTAATTTAATAATGCATTGATGTACATATACTTACTGTCACAATCAAACTTTAACAATAAATAAATTGAACTTTAAAATTCACGTGTGAAGTTCTCAGTAGTTACTTCGCAGTACTGCATAGCTCAGGATCAGTGTGACAAACCAATCTGCGAAAGAAGCTAACTTATTCGTGATTGGCATAAGGGTGATGCACGAGGTGTAATGTTAGATTTTTAAAATCTCTTTGTACATTGTAGCTCTCATTATGGAGGTCGACTTTTGCATTTGATATTTTTCGACATTTTTACCGTGTCGCCAGTTACCGACGACCAAATATCGAAATGTTTCGTATGACCCCTTATACATAAGTGATTCATCAATGTAAATCTCTTGTTGATCGTCGATATCCTCGTCTCCAGCCCTCCTTTTCTGACCATGATGCTCAAAAACGTTTACATTCTATGTATTTAAAAATAATTACACGTGTACAAGTGTATGTAGTTTTTTGTTGTTCCACATCCACAACTTTATCAGATAATGCGCCTTTCCTTTACATTTCCTTCAAAATAGAATAAAACAATGTAAATGAGCTAAATGTGACAACATTAAAAATCATGGCTCGCATCACAACGGGAACAAGTCCTTTGTAAAATCCTGGTATTCCTTCCGTCGTCATCATATGGAATACGATTTGTTTTGCAGATTTTCTTGGGCCTTCAGGTTCTATGGATTTATATAAAAATCATCAATAAACAGTGGTCCATACAGAAGTATGTATACTTAAAGTATGTTGGACTCGATGACGAGTGGCTAAAATGGTAAAAATCAGTACGTTTTTAATCAATTCCCCCCTCTTGAAATTTATCTTCAAATTCTGGACGACAAGGAAATATGTAGGCTGTAAGTTGATGGCGGACATCGATGAGTTCCAATTTTTCTGAAATATTCTTAAATTTGAGATCTCCTCTCCTTTTGTAATTGACAAAAACGTGCTCTACAAATTTTTCGTCCGTAAGTTTAAAATTAATTCCCAGACCCAAGAAATGATTAATAATGTGCTGATTTTGTCAATTTTTGTGATGAGTCATCCCCTCCTACGTTAAGAATATTGATGCTTATTCTATGCTAAATTTTTACCTGTTTGAATAATAGTTTTAACCGTGTCGATCGGTAGAATTGCAGCCCAAACCAGCATACCACACATTCCGCCAGTAATCATTGATCGGCCCGGACTCATTTTCCCACTGGATGGTGTCATCATTGCAATGATTGTGTCACTCGTTCCAAGATATACGCCGGCTTGCGTAATTCCTCGCACATACGTGATTCCCAGCCCTTTATACAAGTTTCGAATTCCACCCGTGCGCCAGAGATGCTTAATACAGTCCCATGTTCCATTGTTGTGGTGGCGATGCGTCGTTCCAACGGCTTGAATTTGCAGGGTGCATTTAATCCTTTCAGCCGGTGTCATCAAAAGAGTCGTCACCCCACCCGAAATGCAGGTGGCGATGGACCAGTTACGAAAGCTGAAGGCCCCTTGAGTCGGCGGGGGCAGGAGTTTTGCTATAATTTTCCCGGTATCAATGCCAATAAATCCTAGACAAAAGATGGGTGTTTGACCGAGCAAGGTTATCGTGAGGCCTGTGGGATTTGTATAAGCAGCATTTGTAGTGTTACAATTAGAGATCAGAATTTAATTGGGAATAACCTTTAAACAATCCTTTGGTTCCTTCAAGTCGTACCGTTTTTATCAAGCAATCCATAGAGCTGGAGTACAAGGGAGGATAATAGGGTTTATGTGATGCTTTCGTGTTGACAGCTTTACTCCCGAGGATTTGAAGTCGTGTCTGTTGTTTCATAAATAAAAATAAATTATTTATGTGCAAACCCTTCATTTATTAAGTAGCTCCTGCTACTTTTTCTCAGAGTCATTGTCCGTCTGGCAGTTTGTCGGTCATCAGGATAACGCGACAATCGAAATCGTTTTGTGGCATCGTGCATATGTATGTATGACACCAAGGGGGGATCCAATCAACTTTTGCGGCAATATGACCACCCCCATCGCACCCAGGAGGTGTGTTCATTTAATTTTTTGGGGTAATTACTTGTTTCACGTTATTACTTTATTCTGTATATGTCAAACCTTTATAGTGTCCAACGGGTAGCCGACAATTATGCCGTTGACAGCAGCAAAAGCACCACAGGTTAGTTTCTTCGAATCAATATTCATATTTGTTTCTTGGATGTTTACCAATTAATACGAATACAGTACAGATATCTGCGTTAAGCACTCGAACCAAAAAAATGAACTAAACAACGATGGACTTGTGTAATATCTTTTTAAATATTGGCATTATCTTTGAAGTATGTGTATTCATACATATGTATTAGTTAAGTGTTCTTGGAAACGTTATCTTGCCAGAGGAGTGTTATCATACATTTATGAGATATGTATAAGGATCATTAGCATACTTTTGTATATGTAATTTATGAATGTGGCCACCGTCACCAATAAAGTACATACATAAGCTTCAAGTTGAATGTGCTAGTGCAAAGTGGATAGTGCGTAATCGTCATCATCATCCAAAATTATTGGAATTTGATTTTAAGAGAGCATTGTTTTATTAACACGATAACAGATGATTATTATAAGGGATTAGTTAATTTTGCGAATCACACTCAGCCAACATGCACTATTTACAAGAAACAATTTGCAGTAACTTGTGTAGCCATAGATAAATCTAATCTGCCCATATCTACAGAATCTGTAGTACAGATAGTATTCAAAATCTGAATACTTTACAACTTTGGTTCGAAATTAAACGGTGAGAATTACAAATTGGAGCAGAAACTGAGAAACGAAAGTTCAAACGCAGAAAATAAGACAATTCTTTCGCCCGTATGTCTTTGCATCTATTGGAAGAAGGAGTGAGACAAGGAAATAATCTTGTAAAATAAAAAAAACGTGGCCAATGGCTGGGTAAATTCGAAAAAAAATTCCAACAAAGTTTTGCGAAACCTCGTAAATTTCGCAAACTTCGCAAGTTACTATGCTTCGGATGTTACTATGCTCAATTTGCGAAATATATACATATTTATGTACGAAGGCTTAGTAGACTACGCTTAATTACTCATTATTAATGAGTAATATTGAATGACAACGTTGCAATTTAATAATTTTGGGACGTAAAAACACTCTTTTTTTAATACGCTAAATTTTCGAGATAAATGAAAATTGACGTGAGTACCCCCACTTCTAAATACTTTCTCAAATCTCAATTTATTTCCGGTAAAGTCAGTACTACGTATACAATAATTCCAATCCTCATATTTTTTTTATAATTCCACCTTCTTTTCCAACTTCCGATACTTCGCGATCCCGGCACACCCCGAGTTTTTAGCATTTTCCTTGCAATTCAGCATAAGCTCCATCCCATCCACGAATCTGTCCACGTTTCCCTTCCTCGACGTGAACATTTTCGTCAGTCCCTTAATAATTTGTTGCGTGGGGAGCTTGATGGGGGCATCTCTGCTTTGGAACACTTTTTTGAAGTTGTCCGTGTCCTTGTATTTTTGAATGATGGCGTAAACCTCGAGTTGAAGGGAGGTTTCGGACAGCATGTCGAATATTTTTTGGACCGCCGTGTTTTCCTCGAGCAGTTCGATTGCGATGGAGATGAAGGCGTCGAGATCGATGAGGTCGGAAATGTTGGGGAGCGGGGGTCGAGCGGCGGTGTCCGCGGAACCCGAGTCATCTTCGCCTTCCTCCATTTTCTTCATTTTGTCAACCACGTTGGGTGGCACGTTGACGGAGAAAAGTTTCATGATGTCGATGTCGTTGTCCGTGAGGAATTGGAGGACCTGGAAGTTTTGTATATACACTATTAGAAAGCTGGTATAGGTAGAAGATACACTCTTAATAATCCGGTAAAGTCACGCAGGTAATGATTTCTCGGTAATAAATTTGGTAATAATATTTTACCAGGTAAAAATTCGTTACTATGATGGTAAAACTTTATTACCAAGCCATTACCACACGGTACAACTTATCATTAACTTTTTGGTAGAGTCATTACTTGTGTTTTTCGGTAATGTTTATTATTACCAGACTATTTACAGTGTATTGATTTTGTATTAATTGATATGTCGGTCCGTAAAAATTTACTACAGATATGGTAAAACTTTAATACCGAGCGAATATGTACTACACGGTATTACTTATACATCAATACCACTTTTTTGTGGTCAGATTTGAGCACCGTGGTATTATTTTAATATTGGATTTCTAAGAGTGCAGATTTTAATTTGTATCAGTAATTCTCGCAAGGCTGTGTAACTTATGATAAGGTGGAGAAAGGTTCCAAACTTTGCAAGGTTTTGTATCGGTTAATATATATTTACAGAAGAAAATTTTGGTTCAAAGTATAAAAATTGAAATTAATCATTTTAAAACTACACAGTTGTACATAAATATAATTACATAAGTGTGCGAGGGGAGGACTGATTTTATAATGGTGAAAAGTTGGATAATTATTAAATCGTAATATTTCTACAGCCTTGTTATGTATTTCCAACGTGTGACGAGTTTCATGGGTTTGTTTCTCTGGAATTTTGCAGTCATATTTTTTAGTAAAAAATGTATGCATCAAAGTCTGACCTCTTTGACTTCGGGTTGATTCAGCATTTCATGCATAATTTGGATCACGTAGAGGAAGAAGGTCATTCCATTTTTTGAGTGGGAAATGTACTCAAAAACATTAGATCTGAGGTCAGAAGTGTATTCATTTTTGACCAGGACGGATTGCAACTGTTGGCCGGCTTCGGCCAGTTCGTCGGCATATTTGGAACCTGAAATGTTGAGATTTTTATGTAACTCTTAAAATTCATAACATATGCAAAGTTAATTTTTTAAATTATACAGAACTCTGTAAATAAATCGGTACATTTTAACAATTTAAACATTAATTGTAACCTTGTAAAAATTGAACAAGAAAAAGTTTGTACCGAAGTATATACATAAATAGTTGTGGCTTAGGTCAACATTTTTACCCGATTTTACTTACCGTACGATTGTGAAGTTCCATAAATAATTAAAATTGTGGATATAATCCCAATTCGAGCGAAACTAATTAGCTTCATGATTTTCAAAGAGTAAAACTTATAATAATTTTGGTAGAATTGATGGGTGAGAGAGAACCAATGTTTTAAAGTAAGCACATATTTATTTAAGATGTGAGTTAACGTGGCAGAGATTGATTGCTCAAAAAGCCACGTAAGTTGTGAACTGATAAGCATTGCATAATTGCTTCAGGTGACATAGATACGGTTAAAAATGTGTGATAAATATACCATTTGATTCAACATGTTCATATTCCTTATTTATGAACGTCAACCTGACCGAGTTTGATGAGTCCAATGATTACATACAAGTGCATACTTTTATTTTGCATAATATGCAAGTTAGAAGACTCCAATTTTGTTAGTGCAATGATTGTGTTTGGTATGTATTTGTCGTCGAGAATTTACATAATTATTTTTTAAACAAATATATGAACTTTTAATGATAATGAGAATTTACATGACATGATAAATATTAAATTTTGTATGGTTTTGAGACTGGAGACCGGTAGGGAAATTTGAACCGGCTCCAGTCTGCCTGCTGATAATTGAGTTTTGTTCACATTTTTATCTTTTACAATTTGTATTTTTCTAAAGTTTTGACCTCTCCTCTCCTCCTCTTTAAATTAAATTAAATTTCAAGGTGTTCTTTTGTGATTGGTCGAGAGGAGGAGAGGAGGAAGTGCTTTGTAAAGTTAGCGTCGCTTTTTTTGTGATATTCGTGCACAATTGTGAAAAATTAAAACAGTGTCCCTCCAGCTACGAGAATAACAGCACGATTTCTCCACTCGTCTCTCTAACACTCAAAATTTGTAATTGGCTTTTGTGTGTAAAATAAAATGACACCAACCCAGTAACCAACTTGTGACCACACCGCCGCCTTATTTACGCCTACATGGTCACCCTTTGCCACCGTTAGTTACACAAAAGTCACACCACACACACAGAAACATACATTTCTCTGTTTAAAAAACCACAGTATTAATAATAAACCGTTGCAAACGAAATGTAGCAAAGGGGTGAAAACACACGGAATTGTCTTTGTGGCACGCCCACGACGTCTTTCTGCACTTTCCCATCAATGTCTCACATTACCCCGCATCTTATTTTGCCCCGCTTTGACACCCCACCCGCGTACTTCTAAAGTACACGACCATACCTTTCAATAGACACCCCATATGACAAAAGTCATTTTTTCGACATTCGACACCTCCCACACGGTCATGGGGTCGTCGCACGTCGAAATGGTGGCGAGTTCTGAAATCCCCGCCCAAAAATACGTCTAATACGGTGGCAACAAAAAATTCGCCAATTTTCGACTTTGGCGTCGTCTACACGGTCACACGGTCGTCGCACGTCGAAATGGTGGCGATTTCTGAAATCCCCGTCCAAAAATACGTCTAAAACGGTGGAAACGAAAAATTCGACATCTTTGACCGTTGGCGTCATCACCGTGGCGCCGTGACCTTACGACCTACAACGCCCATCTTCGAACTCATCCATACTTCAAAAATTAGAAACACGTTGACGAAAACCACATCCCGAAATACGAAACCATTCTAAAGTTATCGTGGATACAGACGGACGGACAGACGGACAGACAGACAAGACATTTCCATAAAGGGGTTTTCACCCCTTAATAACTGGATAGCTTAACTGGGTAAGAACTATGTATGCAAAAGCAAACAAGTAAAATTATTGGTAATTACAAATAATCACATTAATGTGATTGCAGAACTTTCTGATCTCATATGCATTACATCTTAAACTCGATAAGCTTCAGCAAACCGAACAAATTTGTTAAACTTTGCTATTTCAAAAATTTTCAGCATCCAAATTCCAAGGAGTCGAATAATCTTTTTGGATGGGGTTTATGCTAGCATCTTTTTCACTTATGCATGAGTATCTCACATATCAGTAAAACAAAGTCCAGAGGAATTTTAGATAGTTTTTATGTGTCCGTCCCCCAATCGAAGAAATATTAAGTACACATATGTATGATACTAAACGCATAAAGCGTATTCACCATCAAAAGCCACAAGAATCCATCAGAAGCTAGTCTAACAAAATGCTTATTCATATATAAGAGGTTTGTAACCCTAATTTGCATCCTCTCGTATACAAAATAATACGATTTGCGTTAATCATGTACATAAAAAATATTCACATGGCTGCAAATACACACAGAACCATATCACGCTATTTTTTATATCAAGTAGGATTATTTAGCACACACATTCACCTTGTATGAAGGATTGATATCATCCAATTAACTGATTAGGGACGCTGCACAAGATAAGGGTTGTGGGGTGAAATAATTTATAATATGTATACTATTGTGCTTAGTACAAGAATATTACGTATATATTGAACGTTCGAGGAAACAATATTATTCGTACATATACACATAAACTTGAAGTTGAATTATATACTTACATAGGTACATTGGTTTCTCCAGAATGGCACATGCATCCGTTCCACAAAAATTTGAAGACGTCCTCGAATGTACAATCTGCTTGGACGTGCCTGCATCGCCAATTCACCATTGCGTCAATGGGCACATTGTTTGTGGAATTTGTGTCGAGAAAATTGAAACATGTGGGATCTGTAAGGATCCCAATTTCCAGGTTTCAATCTTGGCTGAGAGACTTTCGCGACAGGTTGTTGCAGAAAATTTCATCTCCATGCAATCTTCCTTATGCTAAAAAATAAGTGTATTACGACTACTTGAATTATTTTCAGCTTGACTTTAAACTCAAGTGCCCAAACTTTGATGCCGGGTGTAAGGAATTAATTTCTGCTACTGAAATTAAAAAACATAAGGACACCTGTTACTACCGGTATGTATGTATGTATGTATATATTTATATCCTCAGAAATCGGTTTGTTTTATGTCAGCGAGTAATTGCTTGTGTAAGGATAGATTTTTTTCGTGTCATAATCACAAAATTATTTACCTACTGTTTACGGTAGTTTCTTCAAGTGTCTCGAATGCCAGTTATATTCTGCTTTTCAGATCAAGACACAATAATAAATATGTACTATTCTATCTAAATACACATAAGTGGGATGTTATAAATATTTAGGAACTATGCACATACTAAACTTTACCAACTAATTAAAACCACCCCAAATATTTTACTCGTAGGGATGTTTCTTGTGATGAATGGAAAGTAACGAGGTGTACCGGAAAAAAGATTGCCATGAAAGACTATATTAAACATTTGGAAGAGCAACACAACAACAAAACTATATCCAATGTTAGTTTTTTTTACAGCATTGAGTGCAAAGATGGGATATTTATAGGTGTGTATCTATGTATTTAGCCTTAACTACACTTTAAACATATTCAAAGACCGGGCTAACTTGAACGTAACCTAACCCAGGTAATAGACAATGGCTAGCGTATATCATTAAAAAGGAGGACCACACTTTTCTAGTGCATACAAAAATAGTTCTGGACTTGTCAATGTGCGCCTGGGTGACCATAATGGGAAGTGAGAAAGAAGCAAAGAAGTACAATTATGAGTATAAAGTATTTAAGACAATTGAAGAAGGGCGCAAGGTGATCAAACAACTTGTAAATAATGCTGACAATATAATCTTTTCTCAAGCTACACTGGGATTGTCCAGCGAGTTATCAAAAAATCAAGCCAACAATTGGGAATCACATGGCCTTTATCTTTCCGTCGAATGACCCTTCGAAGAAATATATTGGGGGTCAAAGTTCGATTTTGAGTAAATTTTCCTCTGCGGAACGAAATTAAAGGCGGATCTGTGTGAACTTTGCCCTTCAATATTTTAATTCAAATGGGTCATTCGACGGAAAGATAAAGGCCATGTTATTCCTAATTTTTGGCTTGATTTTTTGATATAACTCGCTGGAAAATCCCCGTGTAGCTTGGTAAAAGGTTTAATTGTGAGTATTACTCGAGTCAGGAACCTGACCTGAGGTACGTTACCTGACTCGAGTAATACAGATATTTACATGATAAAATGAACATAGATTTTTAACATTTCAAATATTCTAAAGATCGAGCTCGCGTGGACATTGCCCGTCGTTGCTTTTCACGATCGGCCAAAATACATCGAAGGGTTGCCATACTATGTAAACATTCCAATGAACAAGTTGTTGGAATTTTGCAATCCAAATGATCATGAAACATATAAGTACAAGTTTACGTGGTCTTGTACAATATTAAAAAACATTTGAGGGCACTATTGAGAACGTATCTACATGTACACAGATACATACTATGTATGTGCTTTCTCGACATTTTGATAAAATTATAATACAATGAAAATAATAAACGAAGTTACAAATTAATTGTTTCTCACGAATTTTTACTAAAGTGTTTTTGTCTTTAGGGACCGTTCATAAATTATGTAACGCGAGAGGGGGGGAGGGGTCTGAGAGTAGCGTTACAAGATGTGACTAGGGGGGAGGGGGGGTCAAAGTCCTGCGTTACGTCACGCAAAATAAAATAGGTTAAAATCGGTAATTGTGCAAAAAAATAAACACTGCGGTTTGAAAACTTAAGAAAATTGGAGCCCTCCGTGTTGTCGAAGTATTGAAGTTGTATGTCTCTGAAATGTTCCATTGCATGTGTGTTTGTAGTTGAATTCTTGTCTAACAAGGGAACATACCGAGGTGTCCAACGAGTTAAGGGTCGACACCTGTACCAAAATGACCACAATGCATGACTTATTAAACAAACTGAAGGAATTTCCATGTAAAATTCACTTTTCGTCAAGTTGTGACGATATTTGTGACGAGCGCATGACCATCGGGTTGCCAGAGAGGAAGAGGTCGGCCGCTGAACGATCAGGTCGACCACAGAGAAGCGTCGTCTTCACGTCGTCTTCAGAGATTTCGAATTCTTTCAAATTTTGAAACCATTTTGAAATTTTGAGGATATTTTGATATTTTGAAGAAATTTTAAAATTTTGAAGAAATTTTAAAATTTTGAAGAATTTGACTTCAAATTTTCAAAATTTCTTCAAAATTTCAAAATGGTTTCAAAATTTCAAAATTTTTTCAAAATTTCAAAATTTTTTCAAAATTTCAAAATTTTTTCAAAATATCAAAATTTCCTCAAAATTTCAAAATGGTTTCAAAATTTGAAAGAATTCGAAATCTCTGAAGACGACGTGAAGACGACGCTTCTCTGTGGTCGACCTGATCGTTCAGCGGCCGACCTCTTCCTCTCTGGCAACCCGATGGTCATGCGCTCGTCACAAATATCGTCACAACTTGACGAAAAGTGAATTTTACACGGAAATTCCTTCAGTTTGTTTAATAAGTCATGCATTGTGGTCATTTTGGTACAGGTGTCGACCCTTAACTCGTTGGACACCTCGGTATGTTCCTTTGTAAGGTTTACTTCTTCCATGTACTCGAATGGCGATTTTGAAACCTGTTGAAACGTGGAGTTTTTTAAAGGGAAGATTTAATTGAACGTAAAAGTCTATAATTTTTAGATTTGCAAGGTACGAGGTTAGAATTTTGACATTTTCTGCCAAGAGAAAACTGAAATAAGGTAGATAAAAGTTAAGATGCAACAGTTATGTAAATATTTTCTCATGGAAGGAAAAATCAAAATTGTAACCTCCTAAATTTGCAAACCTAAAAATTATCGAATTTTAGGTGCAATTAAATCTTCATTTAAAAAAACGCAGGAGATTAACATGTTTCAAAATCGCCATTTGAATACATGGAAGACGGGCAAATTGAGACAAGAATTCACATTTCAAAACCCGCAAACAATGGCACCTTAAGATGAGGCTTCATGTTCCCTTGAGGAGAGCTTAAAATTACTTCACCACCGTTAGTCTTAATCTTCAATCAAGATTTTTCAAGGAAACTTACATGAGCATTACTTTAAAAAATTATATATTTTAACTTCAAAAAGTTATCAAATCAGAGTTTAGATCACAATTTCTTCCTAACAAACTAATGAAACAAATTTGTAAGTTAAATTTTTGATTAAAACAGAACATCTCCATCAAATCCTATCCAACAAAGATATGGGGGTAGTGGTCTCAACGGTGCGGTTCGGTTCGGTTCTTGGAAGAACCGGTTTAGAACCGAGAACCAGAATTGAAGAACCGAAACAGAACCGAACTTTTTTAGTTGGAACCGAACCGGAACCGGACCAAACCGTGACCGAACCGGCGGTTCGGGTCAAACCGGTAGTGTTATTAATATGCAATAAACAACAAACAATGCTAATTGACGTGTTTCTGATGAAATTTCACATATAAGCCAATAACTTATCTGTATTTAAACAAGCAAATTCTAATACATGTCAACAGCAAAACCACTTATGTATATATTATTGAAGTTAGAAAACAATTCCAAGTTTGGGGTGCAACCAAGTCAAAATTTCATTTTGGAAACATTGGGGGTGTGACCAAGTAAAAATTTCATTTTGGAAACATTGGGGGTGTAACCAAGTCAAAATTTCATTTTGGAAACTTTGGGGTGTGACCAAGTAAAGATTTCATTTTAGAAACTTTTGGGGGTGAAAATTTCATTTTGGAAACTTTGGAGGTGTCATCAAGTCAAAATTTGGTTTTGGAAACATTGGGGATGTAACCAGGTCAAAATTTCGTTTTGGAAACATTGGGGGTGTGACCAAATAAAAGTTTCATTTTGGGAACTTTGGGGGTGTGGCCATGTCAAAGTTTCATTTTGGGAACTTTGGCAGTGGGGCCACGTCAAAATTTCATTTTGGAAACTATGTGTATTTCGGGAAATTCGTAAAACTTTTTCGAAAATATGATTAACTTCGCTAATGTATTTATGTATGAAGTTCGGTTCAACCCGAACCGGCCGGTTCGGTTCGGTTGTCAAAGACTTGGAACCGGAACCGAACCGGTAATAAAAGTTTCGGTTCGGTTCGGTTCTCCGTATAAACCGGAACCGAACCGAGCCATCGGTTCCGGTTCGGTTCTATGAGAACCGAGAACCGTTGAGACCACTATATGGGGGTAACACGTAACATCTAGTCTTTGCACGTTGCTTTTGGGTTTTCCATTTTTTTTAGGAAAAATGAGGTTTGCGTTACGTTACACAGGGGGAGGGGGGGTATTGGTCTTGCGTTACACTAGTGTGACAGAGAGGGGGGGAGAGGTCTGAAAAAAGTCGATTTTTGCGTTACATAATTTATGAACGGCCCCTTATTGTTTCTTGAGTAAATTAGCGTATCGCATCGCAGAGGACAGATGTTTAAAAAACTACAGACAAATTTGTCGATATGAATACTATGTTAAATTTTTAGCTATGTGTTTATTGATTTTGTTAGTCCAGTATGCATTCTACAGTATTGCGGCGTTAGTTACTAAAACGAGGGGTGATCTGCATATTTATGAAGATATTTAGTGTTTGCAAAATTGTAGCGTAACCATAGAGTCCTCTAATTGCGGCCCTCCCCTTCATGCATACATATTTACCTGGCCCGACAAGACGAAATATTAATCGTCATCACCGCCGAGACCGTGTAATCCATCGCTTTATCGAAATACGCTTTCTTAAATTCTATCTCAATCGGGGCGGGGGTAGACCCTCGCATAATTTCAAACGAAACGACCCTCTGTGCAGCGAGATCTTTGAATTGAACCGACATCTTCGATACACACCGTGCCTTTATGAGATCCAGCATTTCTTCGACATCTTGATACAATTTAGCAGCAATGTAAAGAAATGCGGACACCATTAAGCCCGCGACGAGACCCATGTATGGAATTATGGCGTAGTATATGAACGAAATGTGGCCAAAGGACACTATGCTGGCGTAGTTCATGGCGACCTATAAGTTCAAGGTTTGACATAAGATTTGAAAAAATCGGCGAATTACACATGAATTTGCGCATTACCTGTAACACGAATCCCATCGAAATTCCGAACGTAGTTGCGATCAAGAGCTGCGACCTGAATGGTTTCGTCAGCACGGCAAACTGTCAATAGAACATTAATCCGATGGGGTTACTAATTGTTACTACTTTGCCCCACATGTGCATCAACCTCCACAGAGTGTTGACCAAGGTTAGCATTAACCCGATGAGGAGAGCTACTATGCGACAACCTTCGTAAATCACGGCAACGTTGGCGACCAGTCGAAGGAGTAAGGTTAAGACGCGACTAAACCAGGAAATGGGTAGTAGATCAAGATCTTCAAGAATATAGTAGAGTGGATCCAGTTGGAGCAAGACAGCCATGAAGCATATTGCTAGTGGTGGTAGATGGTAGATTTGAAATACGAATTTGGCAATCTTTTGGATTTTGTGGCTGATTTGATAACCGTTTCGTTTCATAGGGCAATCTAAAAATATATTTGTGCAATAAATTCCGCATCTCTTTTCAACATCAAGTAGAAAAGATTTAAGTATTACTTGACCCCTTTAGTCACGAAATAACACGAGGTGAGGGTCAGCTTTTCTATTTTTTCTGAGACCCTCACTCTAAATAAGGATTTGGAAAATTTACCTCAGGTTGAGTAAAAGAGAGGATGACATAGCATTTAAATTGTTGTAACCTTAAATAATTTGCATTGACAAACTCGACGATTATTACATGCATAATCTAATCAAATAGAGGACTTACTTTGTGCCAAATCTTGCACTAGAGCGAACGCGCCCTCCTGCGCGGTTGCGATCGCCTTCAACCATAATATTACCAGGGCATACATTGCTCCTAGACAGATAACTAAAATCATAAGCGTTGCATACATTCCAATCACGCTAGATGGCACGTTATCGTCAAACTTGGGAAACACATCGGAATAATTGTTGGCAGGATATCTGACAAGGATAAAAATCACGGGAAGGCCAGAAGTCACAAAACAGAAGCCAAGTCGTGCCCAGTATAAGGCGTAGCCCTTTGTCAAGTCCAACTTGAGCCGGCAGTTTGCCTTGTCCCAATGCAACGGGCATTTTCCGAACAGTTTGGATGACCCCAAGATCTCCGTGTAAGCTTCTAGAGGACAAAATATCTGGGTTCGTAGTGAAGGAATGGTTGATGTCGGCATGGGAAGGAATTTTTTAATACTGCTAAATCATATCTATAAATATATATATATATAAACATATACATATACAAAACATATATAAAAAATATCTATAAAACTCAAGATTAATGGTTAAATAAAATTCAGCTACACTTTATATTTAGATATGCATACATCGATACATATGCACGTGTTTTATTTCAAATCATATGCTGCCATTGAACCAATATCTACCTTAACTAGTGTAAGCAATTATCAATAATTTTCACTTATTCGTCTGCATCTTCCTCACAATACGGGACACCATCGATAGGACGAAGATCCAGACGATCGGGGCCAGAAATGCTGTCCGGACGACACTATGTTCCAGACCCCACCCACTGTTCCACACGCGACGCATTCCCTCCACCGGTAGAGAGATTGGGTTGAGATACATATAGGCCCAACGGTAGTAAGGACTTATCATCTCCAATGGCCATAGAATTCCTAAAGTGACAAAGTTCACGTGATTATCACTAATTTCTGGCGTTAGAAATTTTTCACGATTGTATTTCCTGATGTTCGATTAACTTTATCCGATTTTTTTTGACGTGCGGACGTTTTTTAGTACAACTAACACCGGTAGAAATCTTGGGCAGCCACGCATATATTGTTTTCTTGGTAGTATAAATATGCCACCGCTTGGGAGTAATCTTATACGAGTAAATATCAAAAACTTCGCTAATTTAATACCTAGCAATTACCAAATTATCATACGGTACTGTTTATCAATTCTATTTTAGTGTTTTGGTATATGTGGATTTGATTCTAAAGGTGCACACCTCTAATTTTTGAGTTGACGAATAAATTGATTAATTTCCATGGTGTAAACTGTAAAAAATGCTAACCATGGTGAAAATTTATCGGTAGATAGGCTCCCTGAATAAGAATGTATGTAGATACATATTTGTGCATTCGTATGGTAACAATTTTACTACCAAAACATACAATTTACGAATTATTTAAACACTCACCACTAGTTTCCAAAGCTACTATCATGACAAAGATGCTCGCCAGAGTTACTTCTAATCTCTTGGAGAAAATCGCCCCGAATAACAAACCTACACAAAAAAGTGTAGAATTTCCCCTTGAAAAATTGTAAATTATGTGTGTATTTACATCACTTACCACCTCCAATACTGACTAGACAAGTCAAAAAAGCGATTGCAAAGCAGAGGACGAACGACCCCTTGATATTGTATCCCGTCGTAAGTAAGCGGATCGCAAACACGATGGCGACCTGCATAATGGATGTCACAGTTTCACAAAGGAAATAGGACATTCTGACGTGACGGATTTTAACTCCGGACGCTAAAGTCCGCTCCAACGTTCCCGCCTCCTTCTCCAGCGTGAAGGAAAGTCCACACATCATGGAATAAAAGAAACTTGTCCTAAAATTACAATGATCCACATTGATTTTAAGGAAATAATTTCCTGTCATATCACGGATTTGTAGCGCCCAAGATTTGAATATTTTTAGGACTCTGTGTGCATAGCTCATATTTGGGAACGTCCATATATTACGTCATCATTTTGATGCGTGGGTGGTTTAAGTAGTCCTATCTTTCACGGGTTAAAAATCCCTATCAATTAATTTACACGTTGGGTGGATGGGTGTTAAAATCGATAATTTTTGATGACGTAATATATGGATGGCCCCTTTCTGCATCGCCACGTGCGGTCACCGTACTCTACGCTGACCGATTCGATGGGGCCGACCTCTGTCCCTCATTTGGATTAAAAGGTCCTCCACATCTGGCTGCAATGTTTGATCTTTTAGTAAGAATTATATGATTCGACAACGACATCCCACAACTATTTTTGAAGTAAACTTGTCGAAAAAATTGTTGAGAGACAATTTTTTAGGTGTCAGCCTGACACCCAAAAAGTGTAAATTTTTTTCGACATTTGTGACCTATCCGTATACTGCAAGTTTACTTTAAAAATAGTCGTTGGATGTCGTTGTCGAATCATATACATAATTCTTACTCCTAGATTTTTCGGGGTACACTTAAAATACAAACACTTAAAATATTTTGAAATCCATGATATCGACAGCAGTGTTAAAGTATACATGGTTGGCAATCGGACAATGTCCGATTCAATCAGATCAGACGAATCAGATTTACCAACCCAATGTAGTCAAAACATCACTAACAATACGACATTTGCTGGGAAGAGGTTATCCTGCCAGGTAAATTCGTACGGATCCTGTTTTGCGTTGTACTATTGCAAATTTAGAGAACAAATATGTACGTGTTAAAAAATTAAATCGTGTCGTTATCATTATTGATAAATATGTATGTATAAGCGACGAATGACAAGCACCTTAAGCGGAATTTGAAATGTCCTTGGGTCAACTCCGATAACGCTGGCCCGATTTTCCATAAATCTCAGGTATCCCTTCAAAATTTCGGCAGACACGTAGCATTAATAAGGAGCCACTGTGCTTTTCATACCCAGAATATTGCCCTTACCCTTAAATCATTCGCTGCCCAAATCGTGACCCATCCACCAACGTCCTTCCGGTACAGATATCTTACCAGTTGCGCTGGAAAAGTCCAACCTGTATGCTATCTGGACGGTACGAAGGTTTCCACACCAACTGGTACGATATCTACACTGGGAGCGCGGTGCTGGACGGGTCATGATTTGGACAGCGATAGATTTAAGGGTAAGGGCGATATTCTGGGTATGAAAAGCACAGTGGCTCCTTATTAATGTGTCAATCTAGTCCTAATACTTCCAGGGAAGGCGGTATTTTAAATTATAGGGCGAAATTAAATTTGTCAGCAAGGTAATACACGATTTCGTACGTCGAGCCTTACAAAAACTTACATTTTCCAAAGAAAAATCCGTTTTCTGGATTGACCAGGCAATATTTCCGTCTGAAATCCGGTCAAAAACCATTGGGGTATATCAATATGCGATGCGTACCACATTTCAAAGGAGTACGATAGCGTCACTTAGCTTTAACATGCAATTTTTAACACGTGGGCAAAAGTGGGGAAAAAGGCGCTTCCATAGCTCGTGGGTCCCTTATACCCCCGAGTTAATGAATTTATTTCAAAGCCTGAGGACCCTCGAACAAGTTAAAGTCACTGGAAACTTCAAATATTGCTGAGCAAAATAAATACAGATTTTTAATTTTAAAATATCGACGATCGCCTATCGTTTTGCACCACCTATTTTTCATGTTTTTCTAGGTAAGTAATTTTCCCGATGAAGCTGGTATGTCATACGTATGTTATAAGTAAGTAATTCTATTACACATATTTGTGTGAAGTTTCAAATCATTCGGTACACTGGTGTGAAAATTAAGCGAGAAAAACCATATCGCCTATCGTTTTGCTCCTGACTGTATTTGCATAAAAAGAGGAGAAGGTGTGCCCCCAAGGCTGGCAAATTTTGCATTTTCCAAATTTGCTTATCCCGCTTTGAATGCTAATATCTCCGTCAAACATGTGCATTGGCAGATAGTTCCATTTGCAAATTTCATACTAATTAAATTTGTGATCGATTGACACTAGTTAGGTCGACGTTGGCAGACCTCCATTGTGAGTGCTCCAAAATCAAACAAGTATACGCTTATAACGTACTCGACATGTCTAACGAAACCTGGACCGTACTCTGATCTAAATCCTGCTCCAGGGCGAACCTTGCCGACGCATATCTATTCATCGTCCGCTTTGTGAAATTAGCGGGAATATACATAAATCCAATCCCGTTTCCCGACTCGACAGTCGCTTTCGCAGAGTTCCATGAGAGTTCTGGTTGCTAAACAATTACGAGGAATGGATGGTTAATTAGTCCATTCTAAAATCGTCAACTTGTGACATTTTCTTTTTTACTTACCAGAATTATATTGGGCCCAATTTCCTTTAAGAATAAGCAACTCCAAGAGTTATCATTTTCCGTGTGGGGGGAATTAGTATTCCCGCCAAAACAATCCACCTCTTCATTAAAGACGGAGATCACCTGTCCAACGGGATCTCTGCCGATCGTGTAGTGGATTACAAACGTGTTAATCGCAGGAGCTAGAAGGACCATTGCCAAGTACCTGAAAGACACAATTTTTAACATAAATCACATGAATAAATTATTTACATATGTATGTAGCTACAATGGAGGTCTAATTAATTAGGTCAGTTTTCTGTAATTAGAACATACATTGGAAATCTGTAATTCAGTAGGAAATTCCTTTTCGTGAGGGTGCTCACTTTTGTAAATTCTTGCGTAAATCTCCCCCAAAGTGATTTTTCCACGCTATTATTTAAATCACGCGTCCACGTATGTTCCGGAAGATACGAATCATACGGTCGGACACGGAAAGACAACTGCTGAATGTCTTCTTGCAGAGGCTCAATTTCATCAAATTTATAATTTGAGAGAGTTTTAGTGGAGAGGATATTGTTTCCGTCCTCTTTGTCTTTTTTGCAAATGGATTTTAGCGCGTCTTCTAAAATCAGGGATCCACCCAGTTCCAGGAGATGGCGCGGATTGTCCTCCGCAATAATGCGACCTCTCCGCATAATCCCAATCTTTAAAATGGAAATTATATAATAATAAAATTTGAAAAGACTGGTTACCATGAAAGACTTGAAAATGCAGTAATGTTCTTAGGGGCTGTAAGAGAAAGTACCATAAAGTATGCACCTTGTCAAATTTTCGGCATTCTTCGGTATAATGCGTCGTCACAATGACAGTTGTTCCCATTTTGGTCACAAGCCAGCCAATGTACTGCCAAATTCTGGATAATTGAATTATCAATAATTTTACTGTACCTTACTGAATAATTATTGAATTCGACTTACGACTCTCTTAACAAAGGATCAACTCCCGTCGTGGGCTCATCTTCCGATATAATTTTTTTTATATTTGAATTGATTTTGACTATTGATTAATTTAGGAATTTTAATACCAAGGATCAAAAGTTTGGGATGATTCAGCAACGCCACGGCCAACGAGACGCGCCGCTTCTGGCCGCCACTAACAATAAATGTTAATTGATCTTTACAACTCAAACTTTATTTACGATGTAATTTTAAGTCTGTTTGTAAATTGTCCACCTTAAAGTTTGAACGTAACTATTAAAATCCTCCAGTTTCAAAACGGTTCTTAATTCGTCCCCTCTCTCCAATATTTCCTGTTTCCCGAGACCCATCAATTTTCCGAAGTATTCAAAATATTTCACATATTTTTAGCGGGTACAGGGCGACATCCTCAGTAATTAAAATAAATAATTTTTTCACGTGAAATTCTTAAATTTTCTGGCTCCTTGATTAATTAATAGATTCCTGCACCCTCTTTTAACAAATACCTGAGGCATGTATCCAATTGAAGAGACGATGTCACCCATACATTTCGCTGGATCCCTCCCCATCACGGAAATATGGCCAGAATCCAATTTTTTCTGGCCGAGGATGCAGTAAAGCAAAGTCGTCTTTCTGGGAATTATTTAACTTGAATTAATTCCTCATGAGCCAACCAAATTCTAATCAGCGTAAAATCTGTCGTAAGAAAATCCCACCCGCATCCACTCGCTCCAAGTAATCCGTAACTAGATATGGAATAAAATGACAATAACATAATAAAATGACAATGACAATGTACAATAATGCGTAATTGACATAGCTTTAAAAATACTAATGCTAATGTTTGGAAATTTATTCCCTCACATCGTCCCGGTTTCCACCTCCATGGACAAATTTGTCAAAATTGAAACTCCGAGGTGGTAACTTTTATACCCATGCGAGACTCGTACAGAGTATGAATCAGCCATAGTTGATTAGCCTCCCCTCTGAAATGGTACAAATTGTCAGAAAATATGTTGAAGGTCATAAGTAGTAGAATTTGTTTTACAATATGTAAAAAATATATTCATATAAATGGGCAGCATTATGCGCGAAGGCTGTATTGGTGCACATTCATATTTCAAATATTGGTATACCAAGCTGTAATTCTATAGCATTACAAGGTTTATACAAGAGTTGTAGTTGCTAGATGATACATATATACATATAAAGTTAATTAATTTAAGCACAGGGAAAACCGGAAACGGAAACTAGAAAACGATGCAAATTTATTATCTAACTTCAATCTCGCCGGATAATAAGGTCCACGTCTGATATATACATAGTTTCTCACGCTTTATTATGAAATAAGATTCATATAAAAATTCAGCCAAATTGTGTGTTCCTTCGATACTATGGTTATATGGATGAACGTGTACATAAGGTAAGTATGTGATCTAACTTTTTGACAATCTTGACCCCACCGGGTGAGCTTGAACCGTAAGCCCTATGCTAAAATTAAAATAAGAAGGATACATATGGTGCACTCGCGTTGATCCCCCTCCATTCTAGTTGATCTATTATACCTTAATTTTTCCAGTATTGAAAACTTAGTTTGACAAAAGATTTTACAAATTGTAAAAGATTTTGCTGTCAACAAACTAATCACTTATTTGTAAAAATGGTACAAATTGCGTTCCAATTTCACAAAAGGTTTCACAAATTTCTCAGCTTTACCAACTTTCTGATTGAAGCTACGTACTTTCACATCGAAGTAAATCTAGGATGGCTTATTTAAAACATTTGCATGGCGTGGGAATTATATAACTAGTTTTCACAAAGACGACAGTTAAATAAATATATAATTGCTTCGTTATTAAGACTTTTGAATTATTTACACACAAATGTAGTACTTGGGTTATACAGAAGCTTTAGTGGGACATGAGGAAAAGTTTGAAGTTACTTGTCAATACTTAAAGTGCTATCAGCTAGATATGCATACATCTGTAGGAAAAGATACTCTTCAAGATTTTATTAATTGAGGTAATTTTTTGGAAATACAGTTGTCATGCTTGTTAATTCGGTGATACGTTTCGCATGTGATGTCAGAATCACAGTTCATATTCTATGTATGTATGAGTAGTTGCATATGTAGATAGATACAGATATGTATATATCTATGTACACTATACATTTGAAATCTAGTATATTTATATACATAGGTATTGAATTCTCGGCATAAAAGTTGCTACCGTTTGGTATTAAATAGAATTATACCATTTCAGAGTATGACCATTAGTTCCTCTCTTGTTAATACACCTTTGTGGAAACACCCAACCATGAATTTTGATCATCAATGGTTCATTCTGTTCGTTCAAAAAACAAGAGACAAAAAATCTCAAAGGTTATCAGGTAGAGTTTGTTTTGGCAAAAAAAATTCAATTTCGAGAAATTCCAGGACTTGTTTATTTTTCTGAGCGAACAGTACTCGAAAATGATCTAAATAAAGTACACAATATTTACTCCTAAGCTTTAAAAATGCTGAATGACTCTTATCTGCATAACTAGATTTAATTCTATTTAATGCAAATTCGGAAATTCACCTTTGTGCATTTAATTCTTCTGACACTTGGTTGTACGGTATTTCATTACACGATAAATGTGTTTATCAAGATCAAAAGCGTGTCAATAAAAGCAATGCGCAGTAATCTGTCGATAAATTAGCTACTTATTCGTCGCATGAACCGGAAATTGATTCTAATCTGGTCAGCTTCATTTCAAATATTTTATGTATTTTATGATTAGCTTAAATACCGGACTGAAAATAAATATGTAGATCACTATACATTCACGAAATATTTTTCATTCATTTCAACATATGCAATTATATAATAACCCGTTTTTTGATGTTGTAATTGTTAAAAGATAATTTAATTTAAATCCAATGTATATGTACATACAATTGTATTTAATTTAAATATGTATGAAAAACCGGAAGTTATTTGTAATACGAACCCATTTAACTAAATTTTTGTATTTAATTGTATTGTGCCTGCAAAAAAATGGGTAATCACGAAAGGATAAAAAGTATAAAATTCATAGTTTTCCTGCGCATTTTTTCATGCTCTGACAATTTTCATAGTTCAACAAGATACCAGATTCCATCAAACCCTAACCCGCAGCCATGAAGCATACTTTGATTTTGTGCGCAGTTTTAGCCTTCGTAGCTATAGCAGTGGTAAGAAGTTCAAAATTTCGTAGCCTGGACTAATCTTACTTCAGAATTGTAAACTTGCCAAATTTTCTAATTTTCAGGCTTCCCCCATCCCTGAGGATGAATCTTTAACACTTTTGGAAAGTGGAGGTAAATATTATTTCCAATAATGTATACAACCTATTTCCGCTAATTTATCAACTTTCTATGTAGAGGAGGAATCTGCCCTTCAAGTGTCACCCATGATGGCCATGGCAAATTCAACAGCCTCTGGTAAATCCTCTTCGGTCATCCTGTCACATACAAATATGTGCACAGAGCTGAACCAGACCAAGCGTACTACAAAACTCTTTTCCATATTTAGCAGAAGCAGAGTGAGACTCGGACTCTGGTGGGTATCTACCACCACCGCTGACTGTCGATTCGACAGTGCCGTATGGTGGTCTGTCTCACGTGTCACTTTCCGACCGGAAATATAAATTCAAAAAAGCTTAAGTTTTAAATTTTGGGCGAATTGGTAATTCAGCATCACAAATTTTAATAACTTCAATTATATGTCTCATTTTCTCATGAGTGACAATAGTTTGTTACGGCTCTTGCAAAAATAAGTCCCTCCCCCAGAAACTTTGACCCAAAAAAACTCATGGTTCCCACACTTTGCAGTCTGACAACAAAAGCTTAAAATGTTCGTCTTTCGAAGGAGAAAAATCTGGCATTAGGTTGTCAGACTGCAAAGTGTGGGAACCATGAGTTTTTTGAGGATTTGTATGTTCGTAAAAAAACCGCGAATTTTCAAATTTTGAAACTCGTGATGCATAAAAATGTTCGTATTCAAGGGGGAATTAGAATGTCAAATACAAGTACATGTCTAATTCTTACTGTACTCTGTATACATTGACTTTCTCATTTTTTAAAATTTTATTCCCCCATTTTTGGAGGGGGGTTAGATGCACATATTTCAAAAATCGTTATGTTATATATATCCTTGCACCAGGAATTCAATTTACAATTTTTTAAATTAAATTCGGTGACATCGACGCGAAAAGGATTTGTACAGTACACTTGGTCTTTATCCACACTCTTCCTTAGAAATCTAGCATTAAAATAATACCAAGTGGTATTCATACATGATTCTATCAAAGTTGTACTGATACGTAATGAGGGGTAGTAATAGCTCGGTATTAAAGTTGTACCACATTGGAAGCAAATTTTTACAGACGGGTATAACTGTATAATTTTTGCTCAAAGTTTCAGATGCATCAGGTGGAGCTCCAGCACCCGGTCCGAATGGAACTCCTCCCGGGAAGGGGAAAGGAAAGGGTAAGAAGGAAGAAAATATGAAGAAAAGGAAGGAGAAGAAGGAAGCAAACGAAGCCAAAAAGAAGGCAAAACAAGCAGAACGAGAAGCCAAAAAGGCGGCTAAGAAGGCGGAAAAGAAGGCAAAGAAGAATGGCAAGAAGAACCAGGAGAATACAACCGCAAGTGGAAATACCATGCAAACTGCCGTTATGCCACAATAATCTTTTATGTATATGCATGAGGCGTTTTGAATTCGGACTATTGCCTAACTTGTAAATTACTTGTGTATTTATTTATAACTTACAATTTGATCAAACTGAATAATCAAACTTAATGAAATTATACGATGCTTTCCTTGGTAAAACGTGATGGTCAAAGGTTTTTCAAAGGACATTTTCCGCACGCACATCACCAAACAAATAATGCTAGCATTTTGCATTCGGAAATAACAAAGAGATGGCATGCAGAACGATTAAAAATCAATGTGCGACATTTTATTAATAGTGCTATTATTGGTGTTTTCAGAAAGTTTACACGTGCATTCCCAAAATTACATATACTAAATTCACATATTGAATTGTCGAGATACATATGTACATGGAAATTATAAATTAGGACTACTTTTGGAAACAACATTGAAATTCAAAAAGCGGCTGAGATATTTATATGACACGTCAAAAATATATGTTCCCATCATACAAACTTCCAGATTATCAGATTACCATTCCGTGGCTAAAATCAAAATTTCGAAATGATACACACTCTCTACTTAGGTAATCCTCATGAATTTGTAGAACTTAAAGTAATCGATCTTCAAGTGGGGAATTTCTACTCCAAAAACTGCTGTTTTTGAAGGACGAGCACTCATGTTCCAAATTGCACCGTGACAATGAAATACGTCAGCAAGGTACTGCACATCTGCAAAAAAACGGTTAGGAAATGTAATAAATCTGATTGGAATGCACTCTTAGGTATTGATTTATCTATGTATAATATGATTTAAAAGCATGCAAATTGTAAAGTGATGCTTGTGAAGTATGATGCTTGTAAAGTGATGTATTGACCTACATTATACTTATGTATTATCGAGTGGACAAGCTCAAGTAGATTTTATAGATATATAAATACATACGTACATATGTATGTACACCCTAAATAACTTCACAAACCCTCACCCGCAGAGGTACGACATATTTATATTGCTCCAATTTTAGATAATGATTAAGAAACCGTTTGGCTGCCAACGGAAAGTATGTCTCGAAGTCATGCACAAAATACTTGTGACGTCGTTACTAAAAAAATTCAAAAGTGCTTATGCTCAGATATGAGATTTTGACTTAGGTATTTTCCGTTGATGACAAAACGCCTCCTTAATTATTTCCCAAAAACAGAGCACTATATTTAGTATTGACTACCGTGGGTGATGATTTACCTCCCAGGTTATTTAGAGTGTGCATGCAAGTGTGCCATATTTTGCCATGCTTCCAATTTCTCGAATTTATCAAATGTACATAAATGAACCCATAAAACTATGCCATTACCGTTGCGACAAACGAATAGTTAATTACGTAACGTCCTTTCCCGGAAATTCCTATCGGAAACGAGGACAGATCATGTAATAAGACCATTACATTTGTTGTAGATTCACCAGCCAAACTTTTTTCTTCCATTTGATAAATCAATAGTCGAAATTGGTCCACCTTATTAACCAGAATATCAAAAAGCGAATAGAATCCCGTAGTAAAATAAGTACTTACCTGCTTACAGATATCCGCCGCAAAATAGAAAATGAGGAAGAAACTGACAAAGTAAAAACTTAGGTATGGCGTCCCGGGCCCACAATTGGTGAACCACTCTTTCAGCCGGATCGAGTAGAAAAATATTGCTTGGGCGATAAAAGTGAAAACTACTGTTTGAACGGCATCATTAATCAGGATGGATAACTCTTTAAGCTTTCGATACTCTGTAATCGTCTCGGAAAGACTGATTTCCTCCGAATCTGCTCTGAATTCTTTGGAAATTGATTTTTGCAAAATTTGCGAAAATTCTTTGACTGGGTGCCACAGTGAAAGGGTCGTAACGAGGACCAATGCATCCGTAAAGCTGCCCATGAAACCTTGGAAGGTGTAGCAAATGAAGAAAATTAGCAAGGATGGAATTTTTTGAGGTGATTGCGAAATCAAATCCAGCACGGAGTTTATTCCAGTCGAATTTTCGGTCGGGTAGAACAATTCGGATGGTTTTTGACTCGTCAGGAAAAAGTGGAATTTGATTCGCTCCTCGAATTTTAATATTTGACGGGAGAAAGAAGAGAATTGATGGCTAAGGAGGAAAGGCGTTATGAAAGCGAAGGTGGCGTAAATCCCCATAATGGAGACCGCAATTAGTCGTGATGGTAGCTTTTTGATTGGAAATTAAAATTAGTTCCTCAATTTAATAAAAAATAAGGCAATTCGCGCAGGAGCATTGTAAAATTCATAAATTTTGTAAACTTGCAAATTTTTACGAAATTTTACAAATATTTCGATGCAAAATAAGCTTAAATTTTTGTAAACTTGCTAAGATCAGGGGCGTCTTTTCATTTAGTATGTAAAAGTATACAAAATAATTTTCCAAAAAACTTACGGATTTTACGAGTTACAAATGCCTACGTGATTTGCCTTAATATGCAAGAAGAGTATAATTTGTGTGTACCATTTGACTCTTCTCATTTGAAAGGATGGACCTCCGTGCCGCTAATTTGTTCAGGGCTGTTAGAAACTTGGGAGCCTTGCGCCACATGATGTACATTAAGACAAAATTGTGAAGTAAGGTTACAATTCGGTCGAACATGGTCAAGAACTCGACGGGATTGTGAGACGACTTGGGGACCATGTGAATCCGAAATTCTCCAAATTGTATGAGCAGTGTGGAGAAGGGAAGGAGGCCAGAGATCAGCTAAATTTGGCATATAAATACACTCTTAGAAATACAGTATTAAAATAATACCAAGCGGTATTCATATACCTATGACCATACCAAAGTGGTATTGATACGTAACACTGTGTAGTGATATTCCGTATTAAAGTATTATCGATCAGTACTACTGATTCAGTAGTAGCAAATATTTACGACCGGTATAATTTTAATACCAAGCGGTAGCATATCGAGAAATCAATACCAAACTTTCATTGTAGCCAAAAATCACACAAAATTAGTACCTGGTGCACTACGTTAGTTTTGATAACGTATTCCCCAGCTTTCTCATTTTCGCCAGCTTGATTTCTTACCACTTTAAAGGGCAGAATTAAAAGGAAATGGGTAAAATCGAACCATGCTAGGAAAAAGTTGGCGAAATTTTGTCGCCTCCACCAATTCCTCGTATGAATACTGTTGGATGAATTAGTGCTGGATTTTTTCAAGTTATCCGGTGAAAGCGGTTTAACCGTCATGGTGTGAATGTTATTCTTTTCTGGGAACTCTTTTTGAAAATTATCGATATTCGGGTAATTTTTAGCGACATAGTTTTGAATTTGAAACATTTTTAGTTGATTTACTCGAGATAAAAACTGAATTGTGTATGCCGATTTAATTCATGTCGTCGAATGCAGCGGGCGACATCATGTATGCATTAATATATACAGATATGTTTCAATTGGAAAATTAATATAATAAATCGAGTAAATTATTCATGACACTTTTTATTTCATACATTAATGCGGTTAAAATTTATTTGTTTTGCGAATTTGTATTTCACCACCCTAATTTGGGGTGGTAAAAGTGCAAGGAGTTTTTCAAGTGATTGATAAGAGGAGCTACATATGTACATATCGACATAACTGTACCATTTTGCCAGAATCAAGGCCAACTCCTTGATACAGGTTATTTTTATATGATTATGTACCTAGGTATAAGCTTATAAATATATTTTATTGCAGTGCTAACAATTTAGATGGGCTCATATAAATATATACATACACGGAATTCATGACAAATTGGTAAACGTATTTTTTCATTTTAGCGAGAAAAGCAAAGTACTTTACATACAAGGTAAATTATGCTATTTTGTTCAAACCAAAAACTAAGGAAATTAGGCTCAAGAAGGTTTTCGGTATTTATGTAATTTTATTCTCGAAACGTATACCATGTAATAAATTCTAGTATACCATGCACCGTGCCAAGTAGCCCAAACAATTGGTAAGGTGCCGCATGAAAAGTCCGGCGGTTGCAAATATAACCCTCTTGATCGCAAACTTGCACTCAAGCAGTAAAGTTACGACCCCCACCGCTATAATCATCGCGCATAAACCGAGCACATAAAACAGCGCGGGAAACGCTCCTTCCTGAGAGTTAGAGATTATAACGTTTCCCTCTTTAAAGCTCGAACTTAATTTCAGAAATAACTTTTTGGTCAAATCCGGTCCAAAATGCTGCACATACTCGAGCTTCCGATTCATCATTTTAACTGCTTCCAATCTCTTCGATATACCCGATTCCGCCAATCTACAACACATTTGGAAATTGTCGACGAAATGTGATTGTTGCTGCCCAGTCCGACCGAAGTATATTGAAAGGGTAGCTCATGGAGGTTATCGAGGACTAACCGCTTCCCTGTAATTTTTATGGACGACATAAACGGGATTAAGACACCTTCCTCGTCAACAATTGCGAACGTGGCGTCCGTCTTACGGGCGTGAAAATTATTGGGCGTGGAAATACATAATTATGAAGGGGTGAAACTTTCACCGTGAAAGTGAAATTGTGGAAGGTGTTGTTTCCAAAAAGACCCACTCCGGTGAAAATGTGTTACAAGTATGGGGAAAGTTTATTACCGTTAGGTTTTAAGCACACATTTATAATTACGACGTTTAGAGAGTCATTCATATCGTACAACGCGGTGTTACATATTTTATTACCAGATTTTTTAGAGGGTACCATAAGGTTGGATGATGAACATGCACTCTATAATATTATGCAGAAGCAAAGTAACTTGTCATGTATGTATGTACATATCGGTGGTTAAAGTCGGCGTTGATTAGTTTTCCTAAAGTGTTGGTTTCGTGATAACTGTGTATTCTTGACTTTCTTGGCTACGTGCCGCTAATCACGATTTCGCGTATATATAGATATGTGCATGAATTGAAGTAATGCGATATAACGACACATGTATGTAAAAGTTCAGTCGCGTTTTCTCCCTACTTAAAAAGATTAAAGATTAAAAAAGGTACGCGTTTCCATTTTGGGGGGCTGGTACCTTATAGAGGATGGCAGTCCCGCTAATTTAGATTGTCATACAATTCAAACGGAATTAAGTATACAAGACCCTATAGAACGAGAAACACTATTTTGCAGGGTAAACAATTACTACTTTTTAAATATGTAAAACTAACATATAAGCCCGTCTCCCGCCGGGCGAGCGAGAATTATAAGCTGCAAATGTCTGTCGGCAACGAAGCAAAACTAAATGTTCCGCAACGGAAGTGAGAGTGGAGAAAGTGAAGTTTCGAATAGCGCGAAAATTCAAAATGAATTTAATGTCACATAGTAGTTAGCTTGAGCTGGTTGTCTAACCCTGGTTGTCTTGGCTATATATCTGCGTGGTTGTCTAATGGCAGTTATCCGAAAGTGGTTGTCTAGTAGTGGTCATCTTCATCACTGCGAAATGCCATTGAAGTGAAGTGGAGGTCAGTCACGGCCGTCACGGGTATACATAACTGGTCACTTCGTTGCGAAGTATAGTGGTTAACCAGTGACTGACTTCTACTTTACTGTACTTAAAGTACATGACACATGACCAATCCCATTGACTTCCACTTTACTTTAGTTTTACTTTACTTTCAACTAAAGTGGCCAAACCTGCATACCGTAACTGACTTCCACTTCACTTTAGTTTTACTTTACTTTCAACTAAAGTGGCCAAACCTGCATACCGTAACTGACTTCCACTTCACTTTAGTTTTACTTTACTTTCAACTAAAGTGGTCACGACAACCAATATATCAACTATTAGATAAGCACCCATGATAACCATCCTAGATAACCACCATCGGATAACCCCCCCAGATAACCACCATCGGATAACCCCCCCATATAACCACCATCGGATAACCCCCCAGATAACCACCATCAAATAACCACCGGATAAACCCAACCAGAAACCCACCACTCCAAGATAACCCCCCAGATAAAAACCATCGGATAACCCCCCCAGATAACCACCATCAGGCTACCACTCCCAGATAACCATCAGACAACCACTCCCAGATAACCACTCCCACATAAGTACCACACAACCACTTCCAGATAACCACCATCAGACATTTAATTTTTTAAATTAAATTTATTTTGAATTTTCGCGCCATTTGAAACTTAACTTTCACTTCCGTTTCGGAAAATAACTTTCACTTCTGTTGCAGAAAGACATTTCCAGCTTATAATATAGATAATTTAGGATTGGCAACCCTACATACATATATAGATATATGTATATTTCGCAAATTTGTTGCAAATTATGGTTTTGAAGGCTCATGACTTCAGTTAGTAAAAATGCAAAACCTATCCTTCTCTTTTTATTAGTTAGCATAGACCAGCATAGTTTCTTCTGGTGGAGTACATATGTACTTACAATGCAAGTCTTTTACGTGTACAACTCAGATCGGGCTGGGACCAATTTTATTTTGTTCACCACAAAAAATAAGCATACCCGTATTTTTTCATTTTTCATAATGCGCTAATTTGAGCGCGAGGCGCGAATTTTAAAACATTTTTCAGCCAAAACCTCGGTTTTTAAAAATTCTGCAAATTTTCGAATTTTAGCGCGAATCCAAAAATTCGAAACATGTCTCTTCAGAATGACTTATCTGACTTTTAAAAAATCCAAATGCATTATTTTTTGAAAAATTAAAAATTTGAAAGAGTTTATAATTTTAATGAATTTCAAAAACTGGCAAAAAATTTTGAAATTCAAATTTCGAGACAATTGGATTTTTCATAAGTCAGGTAAGTCATTCTGAAGAGACATGTTTTCGAATTTCTGGATTCACGCTAAAATTCGAAAATTTACAGAATTTTTAAAAACCGAGGTTTTGGCTGAAAAATGTTTTAAAATTCGCGCCCTGCGCTCAAATTAGCGCATTATGAAAAATGAAAAAATACGGGTATGCTTATTTTTTGTGGTGAACAAAATAAAATTGGTCCCAACCCAATCTGAGTTGTACACGTAAAAGACTTGCATTGTTAGATACATATGTAAATCTTTTTCTAAATCTAATAATGTACGCATACATACATCTCTGCGAACACAATTTATACTACAATGAATAAGCTCGTACTTTACATATGTATCCAACTATGTGCAAATGTACATACATACATATATATGTATATATACGGCTACGTACATAAGTTAGATTCTGAGAAAAAACTGAAAGTTTATGTATGTATTTCCAACTGGTCGTAAATTGCAAAGATAAGTAATTTTATGAATGGCATCAACTTTATTACAATGAACTCATGAACAATGTATACGAATAAACCTACATACATACAAAGTCAGGGGACCAACGGCCAACGAATGTACACATTTTTTTCTCGGAGTATGGTTTAGGTATGTATTTATTTATATACATAGATAGACAATAGATATGTATACATACCTACATATGTACATACATATATCGTTCAGATTCAGGTGTACGTATATTAGATACAAATATACATACACATGCGCAATTTCCTTAAGTTGTAATCTCTTTCATAACTTAATCAATCGAAACATTTGGGGTATTCATAACGAGTTCATGTGTATGCTCTCATTCCAACATATATAATTTTGGAAACATTTTTTGAACTAAATACTAGCCTTGTAAATAGATGCACAAGTTCGCAAATGAATTTTGAAGATCAAATTTTAGTGAACTACGTTTTATTGCTAACGCTTCAAACGTTACAAACTCGTAATGAATATCCTCCTTGTGTTTGTACACATAATGCAATCATAAAAATGAATAAATTCGTATGAACGCGGCAAGGAAAGTTTCATATTCTTATGAATTGTGACTTTTCCTTCAAAAATAATTAACATGTCTCATCCGTTGCTATGTATGTCTGAAACTGGATGTTATCTAAATATGATTGCTGACTCTACATACATAACTCATTTTATGTGCTTATTAGTTTAACCGAGATGAGGTATAACTATATGTATTTATTCACGTGCATATGTACATATTTACTTACTTAACTTCTTGTACTGTCGTAACGTATGGGAAATATGGTTTCCTACAGGATTTCAATTTATTTTCCAGGTGAGATTAATATGAGAACCTGGTGAACTGTACACTGGGTCGGAATACATATTTATGTATGCATATTACGTATGTATGTATGTGTGTATGTATGTATATGCAATGCATGAATGTTACTTTTTATAGTTACTTGGGTTCAGAAGTCGACGCCGACAAATTTTCGGCGGCGGCGGCGCCAGTTTTTGGCGATTTTTCGGCGGCGTCGGCGGCGCGGCGCGGCGTCGCAATGTTAAAGGTATAGGAAATCAAATTTTTCGGCGGCAGCGGCGCGTAAAATAGTACCGGCGTCGGCGGCCTCTGCTGGGCGTATAGAACTTATCGGAGTACATTAATCGGATTCAAGCTTGATAAAATACTATGTACATATATTCATTTATACGCATTACCTGTGTAAGCAACACCAGCTTACTACATCGTGCAATGAGGCCATTTAGAATTATCTTTGTAATTAATTTATATCATAAAATAAGCGATCGAGCTATGTACGTAAAAATTGACAATGTTTCGTACATATTTTATGATACGAAGGATATGAAGGAGTACCTTCTTGGTAAGTGGTAGATAATTACAGGATTTGCAGGTATGTATGTATGTATGTACATATATATTAATTGCACCTAAAAGAACGATTATAATCGCTTGACAACGAGATATATCTTATTATGCACATGGAATAAACTTCACTACATACATACATAATTGAGCATTCAAGCAAACTGAACAGGAAATTTTTGTATTGCAGCTTTACATATTTACATACGTAATTGTACAACTAAAAATTATCTATGAAATGGCAGTAACAATAAGTAACGGTTTCAAACATTTCGCCAAAGGTGAGATCGTTCTAAACGGTATCGATCTGAATGTCGGCATTGGAGAAATGTAAGTATTTAAATCAATCGAAAAACTAATGGGATCCTTAATGAATATAATTTATTGTCAAATTATGACTAAATAGTTACGGATTACTGGGTGCCAGTGGATGTGGGCAAGTGTCACCTGCTTTCTTTACGCATTGTTAAGAATAAGATTTAATTATAATTTTGGAACTTTCTATAATCTTCCGATTAGAAAAACGACCCTACTCAAATGCATTGTTGGCTTGCATGAGCTCAATTCTGGCAACGTTACCGTATTTCAACAACCGAATCCCAGTAATCTTGGTCGTCTTTGTGGATACATGCCTCAGGCAAGTTAACAATTTTTAAATTTTTATAAAAAATTATTGTTTCAAGTCTGTCTAATTCCAGGACGCAGCTCTTCTGGGTACATTAACGATCGCAGAAACACTGAAATATTTTGGAATAATCTACGCCATGAGGACACACGAGATACAGGAAAGAATCGAATTTCTTAGCAATTTTCTAGATTTGCCGCAAATTAATAAAGTTGTTCAAAATCTAAGGTACAAAAATTATGAGAGCAATAAGAAATATGAATAATTTTATCATTTTCGTCATTTCATATGTAAGTGGCGGACAAAAGAGGCAGGTTTCCTTGGCTGTGGCGATGATGCATAATCCAAGCTTGCTCGTGCTGGACGGTAATAATTTGAGCTTATAATTAAGATTAAGATGATGTATGTAAATGTAACTTACTGATGACCCCACTTTAGAGCCATGCGTAGGATTGGATCCTCTTTTAAGACAAAGGCGAGTTACGAAATCAGGCATCATAAAAGTTTTATGAATAAAAACTTTCCCACAGGATTTGGAAATACCTGCATGAAATTTGTCGTGATCAGGGGACCAGCATAATAATTTCTACGCATTACATCGAAGAGACAAAATTCTGCGAGAAGGTTAGCGAATTTTCATAACAAGCCAAGGGAACTTTACATAACGCTGTCAATTACAGGTGGGTTTTATGCGGGGTGGTCGTCTTCTTGCTGAGGGCACCCCAACTTCTCTGCTCTTGACACACGAAGCCGCAACAATGGAGAAATTAGTGTTCAAGTTGTGCCAACATGATAAAAAAGAATCGAATTATCCTAAATTTAAATACCTTAATGATCCCGGTCTGGAAGAAGCGGTCGTTTTACCACCCAAGTCCCTCGCACCAATCGTTCTGAAATCGCACCATAGAAATGTGGACAATAATGGATCAAAAATTTATGCACTCATGTTTAAATGGTTCCATCGCAACCGCAGAGATTTAAGGTTCATTTAAATGTTCATTTTAATTTGTATTAATTTCCTCACGTCTCAATTTTTGTGACAGAACAGGTTGCACGTGCTTCAACTTTGTATTCCGGTCATGGTCGTGTTCACTTTTCAAAATGTGATCGGTCCAGTACCAAACCGTGTAAAGCTGAGTTTTGTGCATAATTCTAACCTGAGTTACGCCGACGCCATGCCAACATACTGTGGGGCAAATTTTCCTAACAGTTTGTCGCAAGAGGGTTTCGCCAACGTGGAGATTTGCAGTTTCATGGACACATTTGATAAAGATGAATTCATTTGGGTAATCGTATTGCATAGGAAAATACATTATTTGGTGTCAGGTAATATATTGAATTATTGCGAAGGTCCCTGCCATATCGTACGATGAGGGGCTTGAAAAAATCAAACAGGGCAAAACCGCAGGACTCATCGAGTTTCCGCAAAACTATGCCATACACTTAAAAAACCGACTAACTTTTCGAGAGTTTGCGGATAATAAGACAATTTTTGGCTCCACGATTTCAGTCCGATTAGACGAAGCCGGTATGTAAATATGTACATACATACTACATACACAAAATAAACGCAGATTATGATGTATGGATATGAGTTCAGTGCATATGCTTTCATTCTAATTCATTCTTTCATTCAATTTTAGACCGGATGTTGGCTCTCTGGATGAGACAGACTATTTTTGACAGATATCTTGTCTACGTAGGGAATATCTTGGCATCCTGTTCCCTTCCTAGTGACCTTAGCAGATCTCCGATTCATGTATGTACCGATATTCAATAATTGTATCAGAATCCGCTACTAAATAAATACAGATAATTTATGTTATTTCAGTCCCGTGCCATTTATGGGTCCACCGAAACATTTGACTATTTCGTCTTCGTACAACCTGCATGCCTAGTTTTGTACGTTACTTTTACAATTTTAAATAGATAATTTATTCGCTGACTAACTCCCCCCCCTCCACCCAGGATAATGTTTACCGTGGCGCTGGCAATCCCCGCTTTACTGGTGGAGGATAAGATGTTAGGACTCGTGGATAGAGACTTTGTAGCCGGAGTGCACTTATGGCATCACTTAACTTCTACTTTTGCCACCCAAAATTTAATCATCTTAATCCAAATTGGAGTAGTTTTGGGAATAATGCATGGTTTGTATGGAATGGTGATTAAGGGTTCGTGGGTTACAGTCGTGGCGTTGATGTACGTAACAGCTTTTACAGGAATGTCAGTGGGTAAGAATCTAAAATTATTGTTGCGGGTCACCTTATTTGCATAAATCTCATTATGAAAGTTTTACGGGCTATCCATTTTGAATAAAGTCTGTCTCTCGTTAATGCGTCAAAATACTATGCAAATGTGATGATACGCAGGAAGCATTTTAAGGTATTTTAAGGTATGTTCATACAGTTTTAGATATACGTACATACATACATACCTACATATATCTACTACAAATTTGGTACAAATTATCACTCTCGTTTACATATTGTGACGCAGAGTTCATTTAATCTTGAAGGCTGGTATCATCCAAAATGGGCAGATATTTATGCAAATGAGATGAAATTCTTTACTTTCCTGAGTGTAAACGATGTCTTATCATTTTTCATGGCAAACTAATTTGTATGCACTACTTTTTTGAGGTTTTCTCGTGGGTGCATTTTGTGACCGTCTTATGGAAAACATTCTAATCATTCTGGGCATGATTACGTCCATGATATTTACGACAGGTACATATTTGCCTTTATTTAAGCAAGATAACTCAGGAAATGTCTGTATTTGTGAGTGTTGCAGGAATTTACTGGCCTTTGATAATGAGCACGTGGTGGTTTCGTCAAGTGGCCAACTTCATCCCGATGACACTTATGGTCGACGCGATGCGTTCAATTTGTTCGAGAGGATCGGGAATGACAAACCCAAGCGTGGCTCTTGGCTTTTTATCAGGGTGTTGTTGGATTTCTGTTTCATTGCTCGTCACAATTTGTGCAGGAAGATGGAGATATAAATAAAATAGGAAACTATTTTTAGAAAATTAAATGTTTTTTGTAAGCGATGTTTTTTTGAAGTATTTCACACAATTTAAATGAGAATAATGCATATTCTACGAATATGTAATATGTATGTATGAATCTATCTTGTTTTATTAAAGTTTGATACTTAGAAATCAATATATTATCCTTATGCAAGTAAACTCAGTTGATGGATTTGAAAGGATAAAAAGAGTTATGCATTTATGTATCTTCTAAATCAACTGCTTCCATACCGGAAAATAGTACAAAATATGGTACATATTTAAAAAGTTACCTGCATTTAGTATTATGCATTGTGTTTCTACCTACAAATGCAAAACCATTATATAGTTTACGAATACATATATGTACATAGACATACGTGTATAATGCATCTATGCATATATTTGTTTTGCTCATATTTGCATGCAAATATCGCACAAAGTCTCAATTATATTATAAGGCCGATGATAACAAAAAACTAGTGAAAAACTTGCACCATCATCATCCAAACCTAACCTGCACAACGTGGTTTAGGGTTTTGGCAAAACTCATGATAGTGACATTGCAAAATATAATTTAATAATTTGCACTTGAATGAATCCAGCAGCGTCATTGCAACCCACCTAAAACAGCATAAAAGTCATCCAGCATCTCAATCCGGTCTCATTCACGTCTGTCGTCTGTCATCTCAATTTCTGTCACAATTTTTAGTGTAATATTTCCACCAACAATTAATTCGAAATGTTGTGTTGTCTATCGGGATGGTTGTGCTCAACCCTGTTTTATTTCGCCATCCTCCCAGCAGCTATTCTTATTGGGACAAAACTGATAATTAAGAAACTTCGGGGAAAGGTTGATCTCACGAATGAAGTCGATATCCAAGGAAAGACAGTGATCGTTACGGGAGCCTCGGACGGAATTGGTAAAGTGACCGCGGAGGAGTTTGCCATCCGTGGGGCGCGAGTTATCATGGCGTGCAGAAATTTGCAAAAGGCGGAAAAATGTGTGAAAGATATTCGCACGAGGACGACAAATGGGGAGCTGGTAAGTATAACGCAAAGAGGAAGAAAAATTAGTAACAGTATTTACGGCAATGTTTTTTTTTTTACTCCGGTGCGAAATTTTGGCAAATATTTAGTTTGCGAAATAAATTTGAATAGTAAAAGTGCGCCGATTTACTTCAGAACAAGAAGTTTCATGAAATTAAGTAGAATTTTGCAAGTTATGTGCATATGCTCAATCTTGTGACATATTTAATTGTCGCGAATAACCACAATTTTCATTTTGTCATTCTTTCCGAGAACAAAATTTTATGCAAAATGTTACGCAATTTCACAAATAATTTTAAAAGTTATGCACTAAATTTTCGACGTGAATACCGTGAATTCCTTTTAGATCCTCATGGAGCTAGACCTCTCAAAATTATCCTCTGTAAGGAAATTTGCTGCAGAATTTTTGCAAAAATACGGCGGTGCCAGTAACCCTGGCGGACTTTCGATTCTCGTTAACAACGCAGGCCTCGCTATTGCTCCCGGCGTCAGGAAAGTGACCGAGGACGGATTTGAGGAGACTTTCGGGGTCAACCATCTGGGTCACTTTCTCCTCACGAATCTTCTCTTACCAGAAATGGAGAAAGCCGGAAATGTTTCGACCGACCCGAGCCGCATCGTCATCGTCAGTTCGGTAGCACACGTCTGGGGTCAAATAAACTTTGATGATTTGATGTTCGAGAAAACCCCGCTGGAAGATTGGAAAGTGTTTTCAAAATTTTATTGCAACTCGAAATTGGCCAATAACCTGTTCAATTTGGAACTAGCGAAGAGACTCAGGGCAAAAAAGGTGAACGTAAATTCGTACGCGTTATGCCCAGGATATGTCGAAACCAATATTGAGACGAATATTTTACGAGATAATCCACCAAATTGGGTCTGGATGAAGGTTATTCGGCCCGTGCTATCATTTTTGATGCGAAAGGATGCAAAAGAGGTAATTTTTGGAAGGATTTTAAAATTTTTTAATTAATTGCAAAAATGTGTGCTAATTTTATGTATTTTTTGAATGTTCAGGGTACCGAGACGACCATATACTGCGCCCTGAGCAAGTACTTGACCCACCATAGTGGCGAAATGTATAGAAATTGCGAGTTTTGGGATTACAGCAAAAGAATAAAGTTGAGTGAGAAGGATGCAGCCAAACTTTGGGAGGTTAGTGAAAAGTTGGTAAAGCTGAATTAAATAATGAGGCAATTCACGCCCTCCTTCGTAACTACGTAAACAGCGTAAAATCCGTAAACTTACAAACGTTTACAAACTTTTACAAAAATTGTCAAGGAAAATCAGTTTACAAACTTTTGTAAACTTACGCAGCTCACAGGCGTCTTTTAATTTTGTAAAGTATTTTGTAAACTCAATTTGGGGAAGGAAAAAAATTGCTCGATACAGAAATTTGGCAATATATGTTGCTAGTGACTCCTAATCAAAGAATATGAAGTGAAATTGGAAAATTTATCAACCGGAGGTACCCGAGGGGGTGACCCATACCGATTTTTCAAAATCATCCAATCGAGCTGTAATCATCCAAATTAGTTCACGAGTTTTTTAAGATTCGGCGTCAGCTGATTAGCTCGGGTCCTTCTCCAAAACAGTTTACCCAAAATCCTGACTGTTTGGTTTAATATTACTTAGCACACTTCCAGCTTTACCCTCAATCGTCATTTGACCCAGTGGGTCCACTTTCAAGGTCAGCAGGTCAATTTTCCCGTGCAGGCTCGGATTGATCGCATTTTGGGGCAAAATATCATCGATATTGGAGAGCCCACATTATTTGATTCATTACGGATTCTTTCATTATTAGATACAATAATTATCTGGGGTTATAATAAAAACAATTTTTCACCTCTGACCTCCTTGGTAATCATGCCACATGAATAATTAAGTTTAGAAAGTGTTTTTACGGCACCCTCCAACTCTGAGGGCCCTGGAGGGGACATTTCTGAAGCTATCACCCTAAAATTTTGGATATATCTTTTTGATGATATTATCTTGCTTGCCTACGAAAATCAGCTCAAAATTAGAATTTGCACCAGAGATATTCAAGCGCGAATTCGTTTAAAGCGTCATAATTCGCCTTTTGTATGACGTGAAATTGGTAAAATTTTCGCATCCGGGACCCGAGGGGGTCACCCATACCGATTTTCATAACTTGTCTCAAAAAGCTGAAATTCGGAACGGTGATACTTAATAGCTTCTCATGAAAGAATATGAAGTCAAAGATGAACACAAAATAACCAGATAGGCAATAAGGAAGGGGTACCCATACCGATTTAAAAGAATTTATATATTCAGCTAAGATTTAGTGTGGAGTCGAAAAATAACTTAGGATTAGAATTTAGGAGGGTTAACAGCCTCCACTGTTCGTGGTATTTATTATATCAATAAATGCAGCTCCACAAATTTCTTCCATTAATTTCCTTTTTCTGAAAATGATCTTCATTTTGTTTCAATTATCAGATAAATTTTTACAAAAATAATTACGAAAGTGAATTCACGGGAAGCTGTTTGTAAACGTTTGTAAGTTTACGGATTTTACGCTGTTTACGTAGTTACCAAGGGTGCGTGAATACCCTCAATAAATAAGTTACAAGTTTTACGCTAAAATTTAAAGGTACGCAGAATTGTAACATGTGTGAAAATTCATACAAATTTTCTACTCATAAGATTGTGTAAAAATAAAATATTAGTTAATATGAAATATGTATTGGTTTTTCTTTTATACATGTAACTAAAAAATTTAGATAATTTACAAGTAGAATCTAAATTACATATCTAAATTTTAGATAACTGGGCAAACAGACAAGGTATGCATTTTCATGCACCAAGTAAAGTCCATGGTAAGACATTATGGAATGTCTTAGATATCATGGAATTTGATAAGAAATTCCAAGATAAGATATACCATGTTAAGACATTCCATGATAAGGCATTCCATTTCATATATTGGATAGATGAATGCTATCTGAATCAGATAGATGCATGCCCATCTCATGAAATTCCTTCGCCGGCGACGTTGAGACGAGTTTCACTGGCACGAATTTAATCTCATATCCTCTCTTCCCTTCAACGAATGTGCCACGATTTTCATTCGTCTCTCGTAAATACGAAATATTCCCAATTAAATTAAATACAAGGGCAGACAAATTATTAAATTAACTAATTTTTTCTCTCTCTAGGGTAGAGTGATATTGACTGATGCGAATTCAATCTATTGGAGTCAAGTAAAAACAAAATAAAGAATCTTTTATCAATTCAATTACAAATATTAAAAATTTTAATTAAAAATTCTAATTGTAAATATTTAAAAAAGTGCACTTGTAAATATTTGTATTTCATTATCAATTCAAGTTTTCTTTATAATTTATCTTTAGATGTCCACCTGCCTTATCTGGATTTTTGGAGTTCGGAGGTTCAGGATTGAATGAAATTTAATTTCTAATTGCAAATTAGACTATACACATCATAATATTCAAGGTATATTGTATTAATTGAAGAAAAAAAATCACATTTTAACTTTACAATTATGAATTATGAATTTGATTACAGTTAAAACTTTATGGTATAATTAATTAAGTAATTCTCTCCATTCTGAACAGATGGAACAGATGTCCAAGGACGCCTGCTGTCTTCTCTGTTTCAAATCACTGGAAGATGTTGAAGCCAGGAGTCGTCGCTCCTTCCCACCATCAGAAGTCCTCCCCTTCAAGGCCATGAAGATCGAACTCTTTTGCGACCTGCTTACACAACGTCGATCCGCCATGTTCGAGTTTCCATATAAAAGTTTCGAGATAGAAGATAATTGCGAACTTTGCCAAGATTGTGCCCCTCTGGTGGGAAAATTGGAAGAAATCAGGAATCTAATGTTCAAGCTGGGGGAAAAAGCGGTGGCAAAAATGAACGAAATTCAGTCCACAATGTTGCAGTCATCCTACGACCCTCCGAGAAACGATAGGGGGAATGCGATTTTAAAAATTCATGAGGAAATACTAACCGTGATAGGTTGGTGATTTACATAATGAAGCAATTAATGTAGGTCTTGGTAACTTTATAAAATCTGTAAATTTGCAAACTTTTACAAATATTTGTAAGGAAAATTAGCTTACAAATTTTTGTATACTAAAGCAAATCAAGGGAGTCGCTTTATTATGTAAAAGCGTGTAAAATTATTTTTTACTAAACTTACGGATTTTACAAGTTACCAATGCCGTAAATGCGTAAATTGCCCGAATTTAACGTGCATAGGTATTAATATTATTTTCTTTAATTTAGAAGAAATAAATCAGAGAGAAGTTGATCATCTAACAAAACCTTTCCTATCGGACGTTTTCGAAGCGGAAATAAAAAGGGAACTAGAAAATGGGTACAATCGTTACAGCCTTGGTCCGGACGAATTGTTCGTTAGCTACATAACTCGTAGAGCACCACCGAAGAGAGAGATAGAGATAGAAGAAGAACCAGACTTCAATTATTTACCGGAAATTGTGGAAGATGACGATTTCAATTTCGCCATATTCCCGTCTAGTCAGAAGAGGCTGCCGAGAAGGCCGGAAAGCAGTGAGACGTCACGGTATGAAAAGATACGAATTAATAAAGTGTAATGCATCATTTTAAAGCTTTGAAGATTCACGCTAAATTCATGTATTAAATTATTATGTAATTTTTTTTTGTGTGTGTGTATTAATTTTGTCAAACTTATTTCTAGAACGAAACGTAAGCGAGAACCTACTCCCGAAACGGAAAAGCACGAAAATCCCAATACAAATGTCTTATTAGTCAAGCGTCCTAAAACCACCACTAGTGTGGCGCCAAAAAAAGCTGTAAAACCAAAGAAGCAAAAATCTCCTCCTTCCGACTCAGAAGAAGATACAAAATCTGATAATGAATGGACGCCCAAAACTGAAAACGACACAGACTCAACTCCCTCTGACGAGGAGGGTGTCGATGAAGATGAAACAGGTACCGCGGCCGCCCGTACCCACAAGTGCATGTTTTGTACAAAGGCTTTCACCACGCAATCCTTTCTGTGTCGCCACATCAATCGCGACCACAACATCGCTTGTCCGGTGACCTCATGTGATAGCAAGTTTGCTACCATGGAAGCAAGGAACTCTCACTTGAATGTCATCCATCCCGACGTTTCGGTAGAGGAGGAGCTCGACCCTTATCAGTGTCCAATTTGTTCAACAAAATGTCGCAAATCCACTTTTGCCGTGCACATGGTCATTCGTCATGAAAATGGGGAGAAGAAATTCCCCTGTGACAAATGCCCGAAGAGTTTCTGCCTCATCCAGAATTACGAGAGACATGTAGAGTTGCACAAATTCGACGGGATCAAACCATTCGTTTGCGACGTGTGCGATTCCAGATTTGCAGACGAAGCGCGGCTACAGCGACATGTGGCCACGCACAAGTCAAAACCAGCCAAGTGCGAACAATGTGGGAAGTCATATTCTTCGAAGAAGGCGTTACGCAAGTAAATAATTACATGTATAGTTTTGCAAGGCTGTTAGGGATACTAGTACTAACCGAAAATTGTTGCTAAATTATTTTTAAACTTTCTAGACACATGGCCATCCATCGTGGCGCGCAAAAATACGCACGATGTCCCCACTGTGATGCTACCTTTTCTCATACAAAGAGTCTGAAGCGCCACATTGCCCGCGACCACGCAGCCACCTCTTCCACAGGAGACGACCAATCTCACCTATGCCAACTTTGTGGCAAATCGTTCTATCTCGCCATTGATCTCAAAACGCACCTGGATCGGCACCAGGGCAAATTTCAAGTCGCTTGCGACACGTGTGGTGAAACCTTGAGCGACTTGACCACACTGAAATCGCATAGGATCAAAGTCCATGGAGAAGACCCGTTCGTTTGTGAGGAATGGTATATACTTAAAAAAATGAATTTTGTCATGAAGTATTTAAATCACAAAACTACATAATTGTATATCCTTCTTATTTTAAAGTGGTCGGACTTTTACGGTTTTGACGGCATTAAAACGACATAAGATTACGCACATGGGGATAAAAGAGTTCAAATGTCCGGTATGATTTCAAAAACAATTTAACGTGTTTTACTCCACAATTTTTTGAGAATATATACATAATACATAATTTTACCCTAATTTTCTTAATCTGCAGATTTGTCACTCCGAATTTCTCAGAAAACATGATCTCCTCGCTCATATGAGAAGCCACTCGGATGAACGTCCCTATCCCTGCCCACAGTGTGAACAAGCCTTCAAAGTCAAGCACAGTTTAAAAATCCACATCAAGCGAGTCCACACTCCCGGCTATGTCGCCCCCACCCCGCACCACTGCCCACACTGCGGAAAGCCGTTCCACCGACGGTACTTGATGGAGGGTCATATCCGCCAGGTCCACACGGGGGTCCGACCCTTCACCTGCGATCTGTGCGGAAAGGCCTTTTCCGTCAAGGAGAAGCTGTCACTGCACTTGAGAAATACTCACGGTATGGCGAAAAGTCAAAAGAGACGAGTTTAAAGGGGACGAGAGAGAGATAATGGCTGAATTAATGAATATTTAATAGTTCTTAATATAAGCAGTAAATGTTAACAATTAGGTGATTGTAATAGATGACGATTATAATATAAACCAGAACTGTGAGTAGACAGATTAATCTCTCCGATGAATTAGAACTAGATTTTGTTATCTTATAAAAACGAGAATATGTAAGTCAATTGTACCCATGGCGCTGTTATTTTTATTTTAAATTTCCTTAGAACACAAGATAAGAATTAATTGTAATCCAAAATAGTCTTATTTTAGTCATCTAGACTACATAATCGTTTTCTTTACGTAATTTTGTAGTATTTATTTAGACAATCATTTCTCTTTGAAAAATAATCTTATCTCCAACGGAGAATTTTGACCCGATAATCGACATAATAGCTTTACTACCTTTATTAATTATATAAATTGTATTTATAAAATTGTTAATCCTAAGTGGATTCATTTGTTGAAGTTAAATTACAAATAAAATTTTCATTTGTTTATGAACAATTTAAGATGTCGGATCCATTTTTAGTAGGAACTACGCGTCACATCGTTCCGCTGGTTTTCATATGAACAATCTCATCATTTGACCCTAATTTTTATCATTTAAATGATATTATGTACATGCATATTGTTCAAAATACTTACTACTTAATGATGCGTAATGATTTTCAGACAAGAATACGCAAATATTTGAAGTTAATTATGTTTGAAAATAAATTTTATTTATATGTATATTCCAATTTGAAAATAATTCAGTTTGGCTAAAACAAGTTGTGATTATTCAATTTAAAGTCCAAGAGCAGCAGCAACGTCGATACGTCCGTAACCTGAAATTCACAAAATATTTTTAATACGTCTTCATTGAACATTATCCGGTCTTCCCTGAAATTGTAGCAAACCTTACCGAATGCTTGATTGGGGAAATCTCCAGGTCCTGGAAGTCCGCAATTTCTGTCAGCATTGGAAACGGTGGGGTGGGCTGGGGTGGTCGTGAGGGCGTTGAAAATCTCGTCGAATCCATAGGTTGGGTTGGCAGACAAGATAAGAGCGATGGCTCCAGCGGTGTGGGGAGTGGCCTGTGATGACGATTTTTAAGAAATTTGCCTCAGAAATTACAAAAAATCAATGTAACTCACCATTGAAGTTCCTGACATGGTGACGTAATTGTTAGCTCCCGTTCCGCACGACACAATGTTGCTTCCTGGAGCGGAAATTTCCGGTTTGAGTGCTCCTTGTGTGTTGGGTCCTCGGGAGGAGAAGGTCGCAATGGCGTCGGTGTCAGTGGTGGCTCCGACGGAGATAAGGTTGGGCTGGTCTCCGGGAGAGTTGGCCGTTCTGCAGGATGATCCTGAGTTTCCGATCGCGAAAACTGGGATGATTCCAGCCGATCGCCACGCAGATACGACAGTGTTGTAAAATGGATCCCCAGAACCACCACCCCACGAGTTGGAGACAATATTTGGTCTGGGATTCGCGGTCAAGACCCATTGGGCGCAGTTGATGAGGTTAGCTTCAGTTCCAGACCCTTGGTGGTTAAGTCCTCGGCAAGCGACCCATTGGGCAGCAGGGGCGACACCGATACCGTTGGCACGTCCAAGAATGGTCCCTGTACAGTGAGATCCGTGTCCTTGTTGGTCAGTTGGCTCAGCCGTGTTGTAATACGGGTCGCTCCAGGCACCACCGTACGCATCAGCGAGGGCAACGTGTCCTAGATTCACTCCGGTATCGATGATGCAAACGACGACGCCTTCGCCTTGAGTGCGCGCCCAGGCTTCGGGCGCCCTGATCTTTTCAACACCCCATTGCGCGGCTTGGCTAATGTTTTGTGGTGACTCAACGATGACGGATGGGCTCATTTGAACGGTGACTTCCTTGCGGAGGGTGAATTCTCCGGGAGTGGCGGCCAGGGTGGCGAGAGTTTCGGGGGTCAAACCCTTGACGAGGATGATGTTGGATCCCCAGTAGGTCTGGGTCTCGAGGCCGAGGGAAGAAGCGACTTGGACGAAGGGGGCCTGAGCAGCGGAGGTGAGACCTTGCAGCGTGGCGACGAGGGCGGAAACCTTGGCGTCACCGGAGAGGGAGGAAAGTGATCGGCTGGCTTCGACCTGGTTCATGATCTGGGGTAGTTCGAGAATCGCCTCGGTGGCGCCCTCTTGAATGGCGCGGCTGAGGGCAGGGTGGACCGTGCCGGCGGCGGCGACTGCCAGGGAGGCAGCGAGGACGAGAAGCAACTTCATGGTGGAGCTGAGGAGTGGAAGGAGATATTTTATTGGATTGATGGTTTTGGAGCGGTGTGAAGAAATGGGAAATTTGGAGCGCTTTTATATGAAAAGGATAAACACGATGACACCATATACAAAGATTAATTTGTATAGAACTAGAAGTGGCAATGCTTCGATAAGCGGAGATAAGCGGTTAATCGTTGTCTGGTCAATAGGGAAAGCCCAGTTTTGCATGCATACAACATAGTTATCAGTTATTGCAATTCGTTTCGTCTATCGGTACTACTCCATTGATCAAATCTGATGAAAGGGAGACGTTAAATCCCAGACATGATTGAATACTTACTAAAGATCAGTTATGTAGCATTAGGTGCACACATGCATATAATTAATTAATTATTTATTTACGCATTTAGGGTTTTCCGATCACAATGTGATTCGGTAATACGGGATAATCTTCTTTATGGCTATCGAATTGCAATTATGAAGATATATAATTTGTATAAGGTCTAATTTATAAATCGGGAATACCACCCAATTATGGAAATTCCAAATTAAGTGATCAGCTCGACAACAATTGATTTACGGTATGAAATTAAAAAGCCAATTCCGTCAGATTAAGTGATCAGTAAAATAAATAAATTTCGTCATGTTTTCATACACTGTCAGATTTTTAACTAAAGAATAGTTTCAAAATGAATAATGGATCACCAGCAGAATATCGGTGCGAATGTGCATAGGTGCATAATTAACTTTTGCATATGAAATACATATGTTTGTATGATTGTTTTGGTATAATGCACATTGCTTGAACGGTTGGACAAAAATTCTTGTTAAAAAACTGGGAACTTATTTTGTAAACGCTTTTGCTTCACTTGCATATTTAGATACATTGATACAGGCGTATGTACATATTTAGTATGTATTCAATGCTAATATATTGGGATTGTTTTAATTAAATTAGTTTCGAAATTTGTCGCACTATGCGACCACTTACATCTCGTGCGGTATATCTTGTGCGTCTACAGATGGGACGAGATGTATGTAGATAAGATGTTATCTACTTTATGTGCAGCTATATACATATCTGTACATACATAAATATGTATGCTAAATTTGTACGCATAAGTGCAGCATGGTAGAAAAATAGGTATGCACGCAAGAATCTACGAAAATTAATCAAACGCATTTCAGTTTGGTTTAAAGTTGATCGACATTTTTTCTGCCTTGTACAGGAGTAACAGAATTTATGTATCTAATGACTTCAGAACTTGGTACATATGTTGCATATTATGTATCCCCACAAAATATGGGGGTCAGCCACTGTGGATGGAGACATCTATAATAAATATAAACATATTTTGTGTCGTAACATAACGTACTTAATAACCTAAGATTTGTCTACAATTTCGGCCATTAATTACTCAAATTGAGCGTACATATATGTATAAAAGGAGCAGAAATATGGGCATATGTGTATAGTAGTATGCAAGCCCTGAGCAATTACGAGTTTAAAATGACATTGGAATTAACTATCAAAGTACACTGAGGCCCAATTGGTTCGAAAGTCAATCAAGCAAATTATCACCATGGTTCATACGTAACAAACCAATTATTTCCTCAATAATTTAAATTGTTTGCTAAATAATCAATTACAATCTGAACCTGCTAATTTATCACTACTGCAGGATATGCGTCAACCAAATAACTTCAAAATTAATCGATTCGAAATCGATCATTCAAGCGCAAACTACTTTCCTGCCTGGAAACATATTTACAGTTGGTCATAAAAATGGGAAAATTAATTGAAAAGCTGATAAATCCCTTTTCCTACACGTCTTATATTCCGGAAATTACTTTTATCACGAATCTGACTGCAATATCGTACGCTATTCCGATAAAAGAAAATTCAAAAAATAGCAAGCCTCGTTTCTCCGTAATTCACACAAAATCGGACTGGTACTTTTATTTCGCATCTTTCACGATAACTTTGTTTTACACGGGAAATTACTGCTACTGGTTTTACACCACGATTTACAATTCTCCTAACAATCTCCAAGTTTGGCAAGTGTTTATGTCAATTTATTTTTTGTTCTCGTATTTGATAATTTTTGGTATGCAAGCGACCCTTCTGTTGAGACGATCTGAGTTCCAATTTCTTCTCGAAACTTTGCTATGGATTGAAGAAACGTGCATTAAGAGAGGTAAATCGAAGAAACTTACTTATGTATTGTAAGTTACAGTCTGTATAATCGGAAAATATTTTTGTTTGCCAACTGAGTATTTATTTGTGTATTTACTTCCGAACTCGATTTGCATGTACGAATGTACGAATTTGCGATCTTCTCCATTTGGGAAGTTAGCAAAAATTGCAAGCATACCTTTGCAAACTTTGTTTTGCTAACAATGTCGTGTTATTGCCAAACAAATTTGTCGATAGATTGTCCCAGACTACATACAGATGCAAAATTTGCATGCAAAAATGATACGAAATCAATTCGTCAGCTACCTAAATACACATGCACATATGTATCAGTAGGTGCAACATTTTATTAAGCTCGTGCAAATTTTTAAAAACTAATATTTTCGTAGTTTTTGAATTTTCCAGGTAAGTATTTATTTAACCTTGACCTTATTTTCAGGAGCGTCCAACTACCTGCAGCTAAAAATGCTGTTAAGTTTGACCATGGCAAAGTTTTCCTTGCCTACAGTTTCAATTTTGATGTCGCTGTTTGGCTATTTTCGACCATGTGCGCCGCCATCAGTCATAGCCGCATTTATTTTTAAGTGCGAGAACGGATGGGTTGAGGATACGTTGGGTGTGATGCAGCGGCTGTTCAGTGGATTGTGCTATGCGTGGGTGTGGTACGTTCTGGCGGCCGCGGTTGTCGTAACGATGTCCGTAATCGTGGTTTATCCCGCCGTTATGATTGAACTGTGGATGAGATGTGGTGAAATGTAAGTGGTTGCTTGTCTCTCTGTTCAGGTAATGTATTCATAATCATCAGAGGGCGGATATGGATTTATTTTCAACTTTTTTGTGTGATGATGACCGATGGGGAAACTTTGTGGGTGTGTTCTCTAACTCGTATACATAGGTAGCAAAAATTTCAAAATATTTTTGGCATATCTTTACATATTTCTTGTTTGCCGGAAATATTTTAGAATTTAAATTTTTATTACCATTTAAACATAGGTACTTATAATCATTTAAATCTTTTAGATAATTTTCAAAAATTCATAGGTTTTAGAAAATTGAAGACATTGGATCACAAAAAAATCCAGACCAGTAAATTCCAAATTACGAGTTTGCTTACGAAATGCTTATTTCTATGGTTTTTTGCACATATTTCATAAATATTTTAGTGTTTACTCACAAAAAAATTAAATACATATTTCCGCGAGTTTTTCGTAAATACATATTCACTCTGATAATTATCCTCTGAATTTCAACGTGTACAGAAAACTGGGCTAAACATTGTTTTTGGGATTCGCAATATATTCCATTTATTCTCAAAATTTCAGCCAGGTTCGCAAATCTACACGTGCCGTAGTGGACTATCGAGTCGGACAAGTCGCTCAGAGTTTGACCAATGACGTCTTAAGCAAACCTTGTCTCCAACTCTTCCTCGGGTTGAGCATTATGGCCGAAATATCCGCCATGTACGTCCTGACAACGTCCTCCCGCCACCTGACTGTGGATGCCGCCATGTTCTTCGTCCTCATGGGGGTGGATTACTTCATAATTATTCACGTCGTCCTTCGCGCCTTGAGCAAGTCGTACGTGACGTCGGTCAAATTTATAAAAAATATGGAACGGCTGCACAAGCGGGATCCCTGGTTTAAAAGGTTTTTAAGGTCATGCCCCTCACTCAAGGTTGGGATGGGCGACGGAAAGTTTTTCGATGGATTGACGTCATTCGTCATTTGGCAATTTTGTGTTGACCGATTGATCAATTTATTGCTATTATAAAGTAAGACGACAATTCAGTATTTCCTAAGTGAGATGATCTATATATACCTACACATTTTTACATAAGTTCATACCTACATAAATATCTTAGTTTGTTGATTTATGGTCTTTGCATAACAATAGAAACAATTTTATTTAATTACACCAAATTGCATTTGAGTATATAAATAAAATTAGCGTTATAATTAACGTCAATAATCATTCATTCATGTTTTATATATACAGATTATGTGTGCGTCTACAAGTCAAGGCTAGCCATGTCCGTCGTACATGTGGGTACATGAAAGGTTATCATGTACAATTAAGCAAGGCTTTAATTATCCTTTTACGTAAATGTTTTTGCTTGCGCCTACTACTTGACCGTAATTTCTCGTGAGAAGCACTTTCGAGCTCGTCGGATAGGTGACACAGATAGCTGACTTTTATGGATTTTACACTAATTGCATAATTCTGTGTAGCCTATGCTACAACTTACATATATTCACCAACATATAAATTAATAAATCTGTGTGGATATTCCAATATTGTGATGTATATATTTATATATGGTAGCAAAATATTGTTGTAAGACTTTCTAAAAAACACGGTAGTGCCATGTAAATTTTCGTATTTTCATGCATTTTTACTTACGTGCTGAAGCATGAATGCCATGCCATGCTACATGCTAAGTAACTAAATAAATACATATTTACATGTTCAAGGTCCGAATAAAATTAATTTAATTACTTCCATAAAGTTGATCTCCTAAATATTTAATCCCCAGAAATTAATCCACATGCTGATAATTACCAATCAGGTATTAGCATCCACATACATATTTCCTTGAAACAGTTGACCCAAATGTCCAACCATAAAACATTACTAAATTTAATTAATATATATCTAAATATGAGAATACATATTCATATTAACCAGAAAAATATTAAAAATTAATTTGCTGGATGCTGAGGAAAGATATTTCCAGAGGTGGGCAATATACATGTATATTGAATATACATGTATATTGTATTAATGTACATTTAGAAATATCATATTTCTAAATGTACATAAATACGTTGAAAATACTTATTAAATAATTAGACCTAGCTAGAAAATAATTAGGGATATATACGTACGTGCACACCTGGACGTATGTCCTGATATTTACTAATTTTCACCTGTTATATAATCCACACGTAACTTGTTGTCAACTTGTTGAAGTGGTACACAGCCATTATCTGTGTATGTTTGGTCGTTTGTGTTTTGGTCTTTAGTTGCATAAGTAATGCATGCACTAAATATGTACGAAGAAAGTTGTACTTATATAGATATTTACGTAGAAAGACATAAGTATGTAGCCCAATGCATATTACTGCGTAAGTCAGAAAATAAATTATCACCAGAGGACGGATATGTATTTACGAAAAATCGCTGAAATACATATTTCATAATTACAAAAAGAATGCCAAAATATGTACGAAATATGTATGAATAAAAACCATAAAAATAAGAGTATTTGCAAAATTTAAATTTTTTAATTTAATCCTCTGAATTTTTTGTGATTCGCCTTCTTTATTAAGCAAAAAATCGTCTAATATGGTTGAAATAGATATTTGCAAAGTACATATTTATGCATGTATGTATTTCTGCTAAAATATCTAAAGGATTTACTTATTTTCGAATAATAATAAATATTTATAAATAATTCTGAAAACCGAGAAATATATAACAATATATAAAAGTATTTCGAAATTCTTGTAAACTTGGTGGTGTAAACACCACAAAGTTTGAGCGTCGGTCGTCATCAAATGGAAGATTTTAAAATAAGCACATATCCGCCCTCTGATCATCACACCTGTAATTATGCATGCAGTTTCGTTGGAATGGGTCATAAAGGAGTCATCAAAATAGGAAATCATTTTGCATAATGACCACTAAGGCGTAAAACTCGAGTACAAAACGCCAACAAAAATCCCCTGCTACAAAATTTATATAAATAAATAAATTCATTAGCTTTATTTAAAAAGTATTTAAGAGCTTTGTCAAGTTGAATGGAAATCATAACAGATTTGCAGTGCAGAAAAAGTCTCATTATTTCACAGTTAAGTCAAACGTCCAAATTGTTTAAGAAAGTTCAGCTTGTTTCTTAAAATTTAATAAGTTTCTCAAAGTTTTGGAAAGAATGTCACGAAATTTAGCCGCATTTCTCTTCCTAATCGTAGCCATTTTTGCTCTGCACATGGCTGATGGTAAGTAATTTTTTGCTATTGCTGTCATTCAAGTACATAATTCATAAACTCGAAGAGATAAATAAGTAATTTTGTGTGATACGTTAATTTTATTTTTTAGCAATTCCTCAATGCAACGAAGTCTGTGGTAGACCTGTCGACCAGCAGCACGCATGCTGTGAAGCGAACGGTTATTTTGCAGGGACTGGATGCCAAAATGGTCAAATGTTCTGTGGACCTCATCATTGATAAAATGCATACAAGTTTTCTCGTAGATTTAAACTTTTAGAGGAGTTTGTGGGGCGTTACTAAAGTGAATTGTTGAGTATTTTAATAAATTTTAGAATTGGTGTGAATATTTTGATGTGATTTCATGATTTTATTTTTGCATTACGTAAACGTGCTCTCCGCCTTTTAACATTTATGTATCACATAGGCATGATATCATTGGACCATGACCACCCACCCACTTATTATGACAATTTAGTTTGAATATGTGTACATACTAATTAAGTTCTCTCTCCCAATTAAAATAAGTGCGCCGCCGTTTGAATCACTCTTCTGGAAACGGCGAGTAACAAATTAATCGTATGTGTCACCAAAATCACGAAATATGTCACTTTTGCATAGAGTTGCCAGCAAGCCGGCTTATTGAGTTGTGAGTCGAAGCAAGCCGAGTCAGAAGCAAGCCGGCTTGGCTTGACTCGACTCATTAAGAATCTGAGTGAGTCGAGTGAGTCGAGGCAGCTTATTGACGAAGCATATGCACATACGTGTGCATGCATTTTGTGTTTACAAGTTGAGAGAACTGAATTTAGTTGTGTATGTGTGTAAGTACGAGGAGGCGGAGCCAGCCGGCTTATTGAGTGAGTGAGTCAAGCCGAGTCCAACTCACTCACAACTCAATAAGCCAACTCATTGAGTCGACGGCTTATTTGAGGTCAACTCGGCTCGGCTTGACTCGACTCACTCAATAAGCTGAGTCAAGCCGAGTTGAAGTGGCAACTCTACTTTTGCACTACGTGCATAAATGAAAAACTTATATCCTGCTAGCATTGGCGAAATGGTAATTTTCTTCAGCGACCTGAGTTCCTTGAGCGACTTCTTTCTCACCTCTTTCGGCTGACAGGTTGTAAAGAGGGACAAAATCTCCAGTAATTTGTGCGAATTATCGAACACATCGTGCAAATAGGGCATCAGGACGTGAAATATGACTAAAATCATAACTGAAATGCATGGAAATATCGCGTAAAACCAGATTGGCAGGATCGCGTAGAATTTAAAAGTTACAAAGTTGCACAAGATACCATTCGCTAGGCATAAACCTTGGCCAAATAGGCAAATGCAGTCAAGTAGCTCTTCCATTGACACCACTGTGATTTGAACTTGGCGGTACTGCGATTCCACGAGCGCACCGCGCATTCTCACAACTATGGCGCGGAATCGGGTGGAATTTTCTTGAACTAAAGCATTCAACGTGTTCCTCACCATTTGAAACGCGCTGATGGAAAAGAGGACTATCAAGGCGAGTAATCTGCACAATTCGGCTGGTACTGTGAAGATAAGGTAGAATCTGAACATGTACGCAAGAGGATGTGTAATATTGAGCAGGGATAAGATGTGATAGAATGGGTCTAAATTGAGGTAAATTGCGGCTAGCGAGATCAGCAAGGGATATGTGCTGAAGGCCCAGACGAATATGGTCAATGTAATCCAAACTGGACGTCTGGAAACTGGATGGCGTCGTCCTGGAATATTTTGAAGTACATAAGTTGTAATTTGGGCACAATATATGTACACAAAGTATACAATATATAAGTATTTTATGTAGAAAATGTGCATACACATAGAGATGTACATACACATTTATATACATATGTACATAGATCGGAAATTTTGCGTACTCCGGCCTCCGTACTCCGGCCTCCGGCCGGCCATGCGTACTCCGGCCTCCGCGTACTCCGGCCTCCGGCTGGCCACATGTACTCCGGCCTCCGCGTACTCCGGCCTCCAGAAAAAGCTGCGTACTCCGGCCTCCGGAGGCCGGAGTACGTACTCCAAGCCCGGAGTACTCCGATCTATGCATATGTATAGGCATATTTAAACAGAAGACGGGTTTGTACATATTTACGAAAAACCGCTGAAATATGGTATTTAGTGTTTAAGAAAAAAAAACTCCAAAGCAATTACGAAACATGAACAAAATAAACTATAAAAATAAAAATGTTGCCAAAATTTTTATTTCTGAATATACTGATCTGCACTTTTGTAATCGAGTTTCTTTGAGCACAAAAATGTCGTCTCTTGCATTAAAATAAGTATTTACAAATTATTTATTTAGAAAAATACATAAAATACATAAAAAACTCTTTTGTTTCCAAATGATATAATTTTCGTGCCTGATTACTAAATGAAGCTAATTAATTTATGAGGTACACAAATACAAAAAATACTACAATTACATAGAAGGATCTAAGAAAGCGGTAGAAATTTCAATTCCTAATATTTTTGTCTCACCTTTTCTTTCAAAATTATTTTTCGTCCAAAGCAAAGTGTTCCAACCCTTGACACATTCTCTCCCGTACAAAATCATTCCCAGGTTGACCGCAAATGCGGCCGATGCTGAGGACAATAACTGCACCACAAGGAGGAATAAGTAAGCGGCAGGGAGCGGGAGGTAAAATTGGAATATTTGTGACAGTAAAATGACCACTAGTCCGCCCACACTGCAAAATCCGAGTCCAATAAACGTATGAAAGTACCAGAGATAGTTTTTAAGACGTTGAGTACTAAAGAGGAATTTTGTCTTTTCAGGAAACCACACGATTGGAGGCAAGGTAAAGTGTTGCATCCATTTGGAGTACGCTTCAAACGCGAGAAGCATAGTGATGATTTGGTACGCTTTTTAAATTTGGCGCACTAAGTAAAATTATTAATATGGCCGGGAAAATATTTATTTAGTAGCAGCTCAGGCTATTCTGTCGTAAGGCGCTCAGCGGTATATTTAAATTGACTATTTTGAAGCGCAAATGTGGACAATATTTAAGCAATTCAAGGAATTTTTGAGGTACAATATTATATCCTCTGAATAATGACAAGGTTTCCAAGATGGAGGATGAATTGAGTAGTTCAAAGCGAAGGTATAGTAATTGTTTTTTGGCAAGCATGATCGATCTGAGCCATTATGGGTTTACATATGGGATATAATTATTAGATTGAATATTGAGAAGAAAACAACATTATTTAGGACTTTCTGAAGGAGCTGGGAGCTGAAAAATGTGTGCATAAATACGTATCTGTACATACTTATTTAATTCAGACAGAATTATTAACCAACCCACCTATATAAATATGTAATGTGGTCTAAGGAGTAGAAGGTCACTACTTGTCGGGCCCCGATTTCGATCTCCTTTGAATATGTTGTAGTACTACATGAGTGTAGAAAAAGTGAAGGAGGGTTAGACTCCATGAGCCCATTTACGCCCGCCACACCCCCTCAAAGCCGCCCAAACCCCCAGAGTTGCCGCACTAAAATCATCGCCAAAAATCGAGTTTTGGTCAGATTTTCAAAAAATTTACATTTTTGTGATCCCAGATAGTTGCTCTATTATATCCAATAGCAAACTCAACTTTTTTGAAATTTCGATTTTTTTCAATACATACCCTTGGTCAGAAAATTTTCGAAAATATTGAAAATTTCAAAAAAGTTGAGTTTGCTATTGGATATGATAAAGCAACTATCTGGGATCACAAAAACGTAAATTTTTTGAAAATCTGACCAAAACTCGATTTTTGGCGATGATTTTAGTGCGGCAACTCTGGGGGTTTGGGCGGCTTTGAGGGGGTGTGGCGGGCGTAAATGGGCTCATGGAGTCTAACCCTCCTTCACTTTTTCTACACTCATGTAGTACTACAACATATCCAAAGGAGATCGAAATCGGGGCCCGACAAGTAGTGACCTTCTACTCCTAAGACACGTGGGATTTCTAAGCATTGGTCGAATTCGTGACGTATAGTAGATATCATTAAATTATGCTAAACACACGCTAGGATTGTGCATAAAGTATGTTACAGATTTTCTACCCTGAATTGACCTTGTGTTATAGCCTTTGCAATAATTTACACTAATTTACACTTATCCTTAGTCAACAACTGTGCTGGACCACCACACATGTATGGTCGTACAGCACTAAGGATAAGCGACGAAAGCGTTTAAATGCCTCATATCGTGATGTATGTGTAAATTAATTTTATCCTAACTTGCATTCGAAGTTACGTTCACATTTTCCCCCAATGAATTTCAAGCCGAAATTTTTAGAACTTTGTGTTTATGAAAAAGTATAATGTATAATTGTCTAGTGTCGTTCGTAATGACACAAAAAAATGAATAGTTGGTCATTCATAATTAATTTTATTTACTTGTGTACTTATAAAATTTCTAATTGACAATCCGAATGCTCGGCATATGCTCAACCTAATTTTCCAATGTGAAATGATCAGGCAAGAAACACTATTCTGTTCAGTGTAATGTAATTTACACAAAATTAATCGGGGTTTGAAAATTCGTACAATTCCCATAATTAATTTGACTTACAATAAAAGTACGTCCAATAGTTCATGTATGCTAAACAATCTTAAACGCTATTGTGGGTAGAGCTATAGCTGCGTATGACAAAAAACTATCATTTTTACGTTGCATAATTTGTGGTTGATGTTTATTAGCTCACCCTGCGTAGCACGGGAGCTATTGAATTCCTCTTGTCTGTCTGTCCGTCCGTCCGTCCGTCTGTCTGTTCACGACCGTTTTGCATCAATTGATGCTAATTAATAAGTCCCTGCTCTATTATTGCAGGACTGAGGAGCACCACTGGTATTAAACAATCGTTGATGCAAATGGTGCAAGTTAATTCAGTAGATAGATCGAGATTGGACTATAATTTTGGAATAAGTAGGGCCGTTAGTACCGAGCAATTGGTTATTAAAAATCAGGCGTAACAATTGGGCCATCTATTTTCCCCAAAAAATCTTGTCAGAGTTCTATTCTATTTGTTCATACAATTTTTTCTAAATTATGTATCCCGTTGGTCGCTAATGTTGCACTAGTGGTGCAAACTATTTCCGGATTTTTTTTTATATTTTTCCATTTATATTGCACCATTGGTGAGAGTTTCTATTTTGTCGGCTTATTCCGTACCTTTGGTGGAAAGTTATATGCAAATCATTATGATAGGGTGAGCTACTTCTAACGTTACTACGGTTTATTTAAATTTCACTCGGACTAGAACTTCAGCCAATACATACTATCAACATTCTCCATTTAAAACAAATGTGCCCCTATTTGAATCACTCTTCTCGGAA